AGTTCTAAGCAGGCTCTGTACGGTCAGCACAGAGCCTGATGTGGGGCTTGAACTCATGAACCTTGAGATCGTGACCTGAACTGAAACCAAGAGTATGCTGCTTAACCAACAGAGCCACCTAGGTACCTCAGAATTTTTGTTTTTCATTGATGTATAAAAGACTTCTCCATTCAGAATCCACTAATGGCTTCCTATTTCTGAGTGAAAGCCAAATCCTTACAATTGCCTGTAAGTCTCTATACTACATGGTCCACATCACCTCACAGGCCCCATCTTCTACTACAAGCTCCCCTGTCCAACCCCCTCCACTGCAGCCCGATCAGTCCTGTTGCTGTCAGCACAGAGCCCGACGCGGGGCTCGAACCCACGAACCGCGAGATCATGACCTAAGCGAAAGTCGGACGCTTAACCAACTAAGCCACCCAGGCACCCCTAAGGGGACAAAAGTTTTAAGAGCAGTTAGAGCAATGAAATTAGAATAGGTTTGATAGGGGGGCATGATCTTACTTCAGGACTCATTATTTCACCTTGCATCACATTATGGTAGCTGATTTTTATTAGGTTTGGTTAAAAAGGCTTCCTTCATATTCCTAATTTGCTAAACTTGTTTGTTTTTGTAGAGGTGAGATTCACATATTTTAAAATCAGAATTTAAAAAGTCAACCATCTTGAAGTGAACAATTCAGTGCTGAATTGTTCGTTATGAATTTAGCTCATTCATAATGTTGTAGAACCATCTTTATTTAGTTTCTAAACATTTTCATCACATCCCAAAGTAAACCCTGTACCCATTAAGTAGCCACTGCCCATTCCCCCCTCTCCTCTCGGCCTCTGGCAACCACCAATCTGCTCTCCATCTCTATGGATGTATCTATTCTGGATATTACACATAAATGAAATATGTGATCTCTTGTGACTGGCTTTTCTCACCTGGCATGCTTTTTAAGTCCATCCACACAGGAGCACGAATCAGTACTTCATTCCTTTTTTATCCCGTTATATGACTAGACTACAATTTATTCCTTCATCTATTAATGGCACTTGGGCTGTTTCTATCTTTTAGCCATTGTGAAACAGTGCTACTATGAACATGCATGTACACATATCTGAGTCCCTGCTTTTGATTCTTTGGATATATACCTAGGAGCAGAACTGCTGGGTCATATGGTAATTCCATGTTTTAATTTCTTGAGGAACTGCTAACTGTTTTCCACAGTTGCTGAACCATTTTACATTCCCACCAGGAATGTATAGGGGTTCCAATGTTCTCTTCAGGGCTTTTGCATTTGCTATTCTCTCTCTGGATTGCTCTTCCAATAGATAATCAAGTGGCCGACTTCCTCAGTTCCTTCAGGTCTTTTTTACTCAAGGTCCTCTTCCCACAGAGCCCTATCCTGACCACCAGATTTAAAATGGCAACCTCTCAACCCCAGCCCATACTTATCATCCTCCTTGCCCACTTTATTTTTCTCCGTTGCACTGATCATCATCTAACATACTATTTAAATTCCTTATTTTTTATCGTCTTGTCTTCCGCCACTGAAATATAAGCTCCACCACGGAAGAGATTTCAGTCTGTTTTTTCCAGTACCTAGAATGTTGTTAGGCACATAGTAAGTGCTCAATAAGCACTTGCTGAACAAGGAGGTGTGGCCCAAAGAGATGTTTTGGCAAAGTGTGACAAAAAAGGACAAGAAGCTAAGTCTCTGTAGTTTGAAGATTATTTTTCTTTTTTTAAATGTTTAATTTATTTTTGAGATAAGAGACAGCGTGAGCAGGGGAGGGTGAGAGAGACAGGGAGACACAGAATCTGAAACAGGCTCCAGGCTCTGAGCTATTCCTCAGCACAGAGCCTGACACGGGGCTTGAACCCACGAACCGTGAGATCATGACCTGAGCCTAAGTCAGACACTTAACCGACTGAGCCACCCAGGTGCCCCTTGAAGGTTATTTTTCTAATAATGGTGATGGATTGAAGCTGAGCCAATCACACCTTTTATTCAGCTGTAACCTTTTAAAAAGGACACATGCAAGAGATGGCTATTTCTAAATCAAGTGAAAGAACTATTTAGAATACCCTGACGGTAATGGGATCAAAATATAGAGCTAAAACTCATTTGCACCAATTAACACTCAACTAACTGCCTGTAATAAGTAAGCTTAGTATTGACTGAAATGTTTTATTGAAACAAAGCAAAAAAAAAAAAAAAGGTGCTATACAACATAGAACCTTAAGAGTACTATACTTTAGGAAAATGAGCCTATACAAACTGTAGGAAACAGAATCCTACGGAAAAACAAAACGCTGTACCCTGCCCTAAAATATTGCTATAGCAACGAGGTTTATTATATTCTTGAACTATAACAGAGCCAGAGAAAATATCTGTATATAAAAAGAGAATCTATGTTGAAACCACAAATCAGGTATTTATAGGCAGAAGTTTAAAACTTAGTGTTTAATTTTTCACTTGAAGATGGTTAAGGTGGCAAAACTTATATGTTTTCATTACAATTTTTGAAAAGTAAAAAAAAAATGGAGATGGTGCATGAAAAAACATTCCAGAGTGACAGTCATGGAAATAAAGACTCGAATACTGTCAAATCTACTACTAAGAAACAAATAGTAGTAGAAACACTACAAAGAAACCACACTTTTGGAAATTTTGGAAAATCATTTACAGCAGAAATCAGTCTGGGGGGTGCCTGGGTGGCTCCGGTGGTTAGACGTCTGACTCTTGATTTTGGCTCAGGTCATGATCTCATGTTTCATGAGTTTGAGCCCCGTGTTGGGCTCTGTGCTGGCAACGCAGAGCCTGCTTGGGATTCTCTCTATCCCCCTCCCCTGCTCATGTTCCCTCTCTCAAAATAAATATATAAACATTAAAAATTTAAAAAAGAGAACTGTCTGGCAAATGAAAACTAATAGATTCAACGCTTTTGACTGAATTACAAGAAGTAGATTACATAAGTCATTGAAATTGGCTTTCAATGAGTTTCTGCTATAGGCTGAATATTTGAATGTGATGGCATTAGGAGGTGTGGCCTTTGGGAAATGACTGCATCATGAGGGTGGAGCCCTCATGAATGGGATTAGTAACCTTATAAATTAAAATGTTAATTTATTTTGAAAGAGAGAGTCTGCAAGCCAGCTGTGCACAGGGGAGGGTATAGAGAGAGGCAGAGAGAATCGCAAGCACTGATAGCACGGAGCCCAACACAATTCATGGGCTCATGACCTGAGCCAAAATCATGAGCTGGATGCCTCACTGACTGAGCCACCCAGGCGCCCCAATACCCTTATAAAGCAGACACCACAGAACTCTCTCCCCACTTTTGCCAGGAGGATACAGCAAAAACATGATGTTCTATGAACCAGGAAGTAGGTCCTCGCTAGATACTTAATCCACCAGTGTCTTGATCATGGACTTCCCAGCCTCCAGAACTATGAGAAATACGTCTCTGTTGCTTATAAGTTACCTACTGTATGATACTCTTACAGCAGCCTAAAGGGACTAGGACAGTTTCAAAGTGCCAAGTACAAAGTACAAGAAGTTCTGATGTCAAGATGAAAAAAACCACTCATGATAGAGTCTAACAACTTCAAAGCCTGACCACCTTAATGGTTATTGAGATTACAAAGGGACTTTGTCAGCCTCTAAAGTCCAAGAAATTAGTAAAGTATAAATAGTGAGCTTTTACCTGTGCTGGAAGAAAAACTGCAAGATGCACTTGGTGAAGGCTCTCAGTCTGTAGGCCAAGGAATCAGGCTTCCATCTAAGAAGCAAAACAATGCTCCTAGCTACCCGATAAAATATACAGCTTTTATATGAAGTTATTTATGAGAAAATGACTCCTGAGGCACTTTAACAATACAAATTTTATTAAAAAAATAAGTAATAACATCAAAACTGTTCAGCAAATCTATATTCAATGTAACCAAAATAAACAAACAACAAATTAAAAAAAATATACATCTATATATATATGGGCAAGAAACAAGTGCATTTTTTGGTCCCAATATTTTCTGAATATATTATCTTTATCCAAAGGAATTACATTAATGGCTAAGAAGATATTATGTATTAGATGTACAGAAACATAACTTTAAAATTTGTTTTAAGGTCTGTAGGAAGTGTTGGGGTTTTTTTTGGCCAATTGTTTATGTTTTTGAGCTCCTAATCACTAAGATAATTTTAATGATAGTCCCAAGATAGACAGAAGATGTAATCATGTCTAGTGGTCTGAACAATTACCAAATCTAGAAGCTATCAATAGGTAGCTACATGAAATTTGTAGAGAGATCTAAAGAATTTCTTGGAATTCTTACAAAACAAAACAAACACAAAACAAAAGTTTTAAAGAAAAGAGATAAAAGTAGACATAACAAAACACATATCAATAAATTTGGTGAAGAAAAACATAAAATTAAGATAAAATTAAACTTAAAAAAATTGAATATTAGTATTGCTGAAAACTCCTAGGATTAATACTGGATAAAATTTTAAATGACAGTACAAATAACTATAACTTTGGAACTGTAATTTTAGAAACTTGTTTTCCAAGAACATGAAAGTAACCTTGGTTCCCTACACAACCAGTTTTTATATTCCTTGGACTGCATGCATACTAGACGAAGATTAAAGGGCAGCAGCCAAAATGATTAAACTCCAACTTGGACGTTGAAGTATTGATTTGATGGGCCTTTCTTGGTCAGAAGGAACCCATAAGTGTAAGATCAAGAACCTAAGCCCCCAGTGGGAAGTTGTGCTCAATTTGGTGGGCCTTGAGGTCATCTCTGGCCAAATTAGCATCAGCCTTATGGGAGGCCAGTCATGAAGGAAGGGACTCTCCCCAAGATCTGATTTCTTAAGGCCACAATCTAGAGGAGGTCTCACAGTCAAATAATTCACATTCCTTGGAAAGAGAGAACAGGCATCAGTTGTGTCCATCGAAGGGGGACACTGACCAGGAGTATCCTGGACATTTTTTGAAATTTCTGTGTTGCTTCTGCATCTGAAAAATATGAAAAATAGAACAATGACAGACAGTAAAAGAAGAAAAGGACAGCTATCTGACCTAAAAATGTAAGACTTATAAGAAATTAACTAAGAAACCAGACAAAACAGACAAAGAAAATGAATAGCCATATCATTTGGAATGCAATATTCTGAAGGCAAGTACAGCAGAGAAAAACACAAATTATTTTAAGCAAAGCAAAAACGACCATGGCAACAAAAGTTATTTTTGGAGAGAGCCAACTGGAGAAAAAAGCTTATGTTAAGATATGTTAACCTGACACAAAGATAAGGTGGAATAAGAATCTAGTGCCATCTGAAAGCTGAAAAGAGCTGAATCAGAACTAGTGTCATGAACTGCTTAACCGCCTTCATGTGAGAAAACACTTCAGAAGTTTGAACTTAGGAAACTGCCTTTGTGTAAGAAAACACTTCAGAACTTTGAACTTAGGAAATTCCAACTTGTCTTGCACCAGGTTGCACGAGCTCCATAGAGCAGGAATCTATTTCAACAAGCGCTTTAAAAACAAAAACAAAAACAAAATACTTTAATATTTTTCATTTCTATTAATGGTACATTTAAAAATGCAACAGTGCTAAAATCCATCAAAGAAAAATGCACAAAATGGAAATTAAACTTACTCAGACAAGGGTTCAGAAGTTGAGGTACTTTCAGGAACTGAAATTAGAAGAGGTTTACATTTACAATAGTATAGGTGATGAGTGATCCTATCTAGTACGTAAGAGCCTATATTGTGGCTGACCAAAAATACTGGACTAAATATCAGAAATTCAAAGTAATACAATTATATATACATACCATTCTCTATTACAACTTGGCAAGTATGAGTTTTACGTTGACTTAGGTGTTTAGCCATACGATCTAAGCCAGAAGAATCAGTTAGGAAGTCACATTTAAGGCACACCAGAGTAATGCCCCTATGAAGAAAAAGGAAAGCAAAGGTTTTCATCTTTTATCAAAGTCCATAGGCATATTCAATAATTATTTTTCCACGTAATAACTTTTGATTTGCTTTTTATGTGTCATGACCATCAATTTCCAATTTTGTTATACAAGCCTGATTTATCTGAAATGGTACTCTAGAAAATGACATAGCCACATTTAAGTTATGGAAACATTTAGTGCTTTATAAACTGCTCCCTCTCATCCTGGTTGCTAAAGGACAAGAGTTAAGAGACCTAAAACCCAATTGTGGCTCCACTAACAATTTGTGTAGCTTGGGCAAGTCACATTCTTTCTGTGCCTTTGCCTATCTGGAAAGCAAGGATATAATACTCATTCAATACACACTTTCTGAGACCTTTTTTCCACACTCTACTGCAAACGTTGTGGATACACGAGTGAACAAAAGAGGGTAAACTCTGTGGAGACTATACTCTAGTGTCTTATTTTAGAAGTGATGAAATTAGAAAATAAAACGGAAGGCTTTAAAAGTAAATCATATAATTTAATTATTGTTATTATCAATTAAAGAGCATAAACATACTTTGTTCACTGGATGTTTTTAAGTATTTCAACTTGTCGAGGAATAAAAACCAGTAGCACACCTTAACTGATGGCCCCCCTGCGGTTCTAGTCTTAACAGCCTGCTGTATATGAATACCTGGCTGTCACGTTGGCACATCAAAAATGATCTTCATACACTGAAATTGTGCTTTCCTCCCCACCCCCAAAAACCATTCCTCCTAACTAATCTCTCTTATGATGTCATGCTCCCAACACAATGGCTCAAAATTACCTGATTCTCCTTTTTCTTAAAACAGTCAATATTTCAAATATTTTATATTATTTTAATTTTTAAAAAAACTTCTCATGTTTATTTATTTTTGAGAGAAAGAGAAAGAGAGAGAGAGACACACACACACACATACATAGTGCAAGCAGAGAAGGGGCAGAGAGAGGAGGAGACACAGAATCTGAAGCAGGCTCCAGGCTCTGAGATGTCAGCACAGAGCCCAGTGCGGGGCTCGAACTCACAAACCTTGAGATCGTGACCTGAGCCAACGTTGTATGCTTAACCAACTGAGCCACCCAGGCGCCTCTCAAATATTTTATATTATTAACAATTTATTGAGCATTTAACTCTGTGCCATGCTGAGGGCTTTAGATATCTCATCTAAATCCTATAACAAACCAAGGAGGTAGGTATTATAATTACTACTTTTTAAATAGAGGACTCAGTCAGGTTTAACAACCTATCAAGGCCAAGATTAGAATTGAAAGTGAGCCCTTTGATTTCAGAGCCCATGTCGTAAACAGTGTGATACTACTTCACCACCGTAACTCAGATTCTTATTAAGTCAATGTTGGCTACCATAATAATCTTAAACAGTCCATGTACCTCATGCAATTGAATCTTACCTTGTATACCCTCCAAAATGATCTTCCTTGATTCTACACAAAACACCAATAGTTTCCCCAGTGGGTCCAAACTCCCTGGCCTAGTTTTCAGGGATTCCACAATCTGGATCTCAGCTCAAAACTATTCTGCTTCAAAAGCCAAACTACACTGTATGTTACCTAAGTTGAATTTAAATAAAATAAATAAATTAAATTTAAAAAAAACCTAGTCCCCAAGACTATGACCTTAATACTATGTTACATAAACTACATGCTCTATCTAAATTGCACTGCTAGTCATTCTCTGTGGACACCTTTGCTCTCTCCATTCTGTACTTTTATTTATACGATTTCTTCTAATTAGAATGCCCTTGTGCCTCTTCTTATATGTAGAAATCTCTCCTTTGAAATCAATAACTCTCACTGCACTTTTATAAACATTCTTAAAATTTTTTAAAATGTTTTATTTATTTACTTTTGAGAAAGAGATAGAGAGCACACAAGCCAGGGACAGGGGCAGAGAGAGAGGGAGACACAGAATCTGAAGCAGGCTCCAGGCTCTGAGTTGTCAGCACAGAGCCCGACACAGGGCTCAAACTCACGAACTGGGAGATCATGACCTGAGCCGAAGTTGGATGCTCAACCAACTGAGCCACCCACATGCTCCTACAAACCTTCTTATGTTACTGTAGTTACTTATATTCACACCTTAACATATATTATACATTCCTTGAAGGTTGGACAAGCCTTCTTCATCAGTGTCATCTTTATGGGAACTGCTACAATGTGTTATACATAATAGGTGCACAATAAATAAAAAATGAGCATTGCATTTTAACAAAACAATAATTACAAAATTTATTGTTCTATAGAATTATAAATATGCTAAGTCTCATATACAGAAATTAATCAATTTTCTATTTAAATCTGAGGCCTATCCAAATTGAGAAAAAAGCATCTCAGATCTTTAAAGTCATAGAATCAATTTAAGAATCAACCATACAACTGAGCTTGATAAATAACAATGATGTAATAAATTAAACTCTTATCTTTAGAATTAATAAATCTTTTTTAATTCTTAAAAAATTTTTCAGTAAAATTCTATTTCCTTAAATTTAGTAATATTTTTTAAATAGCATGAATACATTTTTAAAATAGTAACAAACTTTCCTCGCTTATGAGCTGTTGGTCCAACACCATCCACACCATCCATATATGTAATTTTCAACATGTACATTAATTTACTCAAATATTTACAGAATGCCTACCATGTGTCAGGCACTATTCAATTCTCAGTAAACATACGGCATAGACAAATATCCAAACCACACACATTCTAGTGAGAAGACACAGTCAATAAATAAAAGAGTAAAGTATACAGTATGGTGGAATGTAAAAAGTGAAGAAAAATAAAGGGAGATAGGGAATGGTGGAGATGGGGCCTAGGGGAAAGAATGCTATTTTAAATGGAGTGCTCAAAGAAAGCTTCACACATTGGATTAGAGATTTGAAGGAAGTGAGGGAGCTAGCCATGCATATATCTGGGGAAGAGTGAACAAAGCAAGGAATAATGAACACAAAGATCCTGAGATGTATTATCTCCCCCTCCACCTTTCCATTAACCCAAAGAATCAAAACAAGTACTGGCTAAACTTAAGTCTATGTCTTAGCCATAAGACATCTTGATGCTACTAAAATCTTGGCACTGATATTTCAAATAGCAATGATAACATGAACAAAATAATTAAACAAAGGAAGATGAAGTAAAAAGAAAGCAGAAGAATGTGGAAAAAAATGGATGCATAGCGGATTCTGAGCCAAGTGTGTGTGGTATAATTAGGGTTAATATTCAATGCCTTTTGAAATGTTCATCAGCAATTCCTTTTGTAGAGTAAACAAGTTATGTACTTTTCTTTATTTCAAAGGGAAAAAAAAAACCCCTAAGAATTATGAAGGCTATATATTGCTCAAAACCAAGAAAGTGTTAGTCAATTTACTAAATATCTCAAACATCTTTCTAATCTTCTTTTATAATGCAAATCCATGAAAATTTCATCTTATTGCCTAACACCACTGAAATAAAGTTTAGTCAGAGAATACAGGCTAGTTCTACTTTGTTCTATGGTATAATGAAGAGAATTGTATTATGTCTAGTAGCAATCACTCCATTTTCCAAACAAGGTACTCAAGAATCAGGTTAAAGAAGTTAATACAATTTTTCAATAGAGAAAATGGAAAAAGATCAACTAGTTACCTGAGAATTCCAGAATGCTTCTTAAAGATATAAAACCGTTTACTTGGATTGTTGCTATGAGAGCTGAAAAACAAGACAGATGAGATGCTATTATACAGTAATTCATATCAATTTTATTGAACATATTTCAAGTGCATGTTTAGTTTCTTAGTTTTGAAAAAAAGATCATGAGCTAAGTTATTAAATTCTATTATTCATCTGTTTAATTCAAGACTAAAAAATGTTTATTTTGAGACGGGGGGAGGGAAAGAGCATACAGGTGAGGGATGGGCAGAGAGAGAGGGAAGAATCCTAAACAGGCTCAGTGCTAGCAGTGCAGAGTCTGATGTGGGTCTTGAACCCATGAACCGTGAGATCATGGCTCAATCCAAAACCAAGAGTCAGATGCTTAACTGACTGAGCTACCCAGGTGCCCCTAATTCAAGATTTTTATTTTACATTTCATTTTACCCATGCATTTTCTTTTTTTCTTTTTAAAAAAAATGTTAATTAAGGGGCATCTGGGTGGCTCAGTTGATTAAGTGTCCGACTTTGGCTCAGGCCATGATCTCACAGTTTGTGGGTTTGAGCCCCGCATTGGGCTCTGTGCTGACAGCTCAGAGCCTGGAGCCTGCTTCTGATTCTGTGTCTCCCTCTCTCTCTGCCCCTTCCCTACTCATGCTTTGTTTCTGTCTCAATAATAAATAAACGTAAAAAATTAAAAATGTTAATTAATTGAGAGAGTGTGTGTGCATGCAGGTGAGCAGGAGAGAGGGGCAGAAGAAGAGAGAGACAGAGAATCTCAAGCAGACTCAATGCTTAGTACAGAATCCTACACAAGACTTGATCCCACAATCCTGGGATCATGACCAGAGCCGAAATCAACAGTTAGATGCTCAACTGACTGAGCCATCCAGGTGCCCCTTCCTGAGACTATTTAGATGATCAATACCCTCACCATTATTTTAAAAACTTACATAAACATCATAAAAGCCATCTATGAGAAGCCCTCAGCTAACATCATCCTCAATGGGGAAAAACTGAGAGCTTTCCCCCTGAGATCAGAAACACGACAAGGATGTCCCCTCTCGCCACTGTTGTTTACCATAGTGCTGGAAGTCCTAGCATCAGCCATCAGACAACAAAAGGAAATCAAAGGCATCAGAATTGGCAAAGATCAAGTCAAACTCTCACTTTTTGCAGATGACATGATACTCTACATAGAAAACCCGACAGACTCCACCAGAAGCCTACTAGAACTGATCCATAAATTCAGCAAAGTTGCAGGATACAAAATCAACGTACAGAAATCGGTTGCATTTTTATACACTAACAATGAAGCAACAGAAAGAGAAATCAGGAAACTGATCCCATTCACAATTGCACAAAAAACCATAAAATACCTAGGAATAAACCTAACCAAAGATATAAAAGATCTATCTGTATGATGAAAGCTATAGAAAACTTATGAAGGAAATTGAAGAAGACACAAAGAAATGGAAAAACATTCCATGCTTATGGGTCTGAAGAACAAATATAGTCAAAATGTCATTACTACCCAAAGCAATCTACACATTCAATGTAATCCCAATCAAAATTGCACCAGCATACTTCACAAAACTAGAACTATCCTAAAATTTGTATGGAACCACAAAAGACCCTGAATAGCCAAGGTAATTTTGAAGAAGAAAACCAAAACGGGAAGCATCACCATCCCAGACTTTAGCCTCTACTACAAAGCTGTCATCATCAAGACAGTATGGTATTGGCATAAAACCAGACAAATAGACCAATGGAATAGAATTGAGAACTCAGAATTGGACCCAAAAGTGTATAGCCAAGTAATCTTTGAAAAAGCAGAAAAGAGTATCCAATGGAAAAAAGACAGCCTCTTTAAAAGATGGTGCTGGGAGAAATGGACAGCAACATGCAGAAGAATGAAACTAGATCATTCAAAGGAAACAATCCCTAAAACTAATAGGAAACTGACGGAACGGGAAAAGATAGTTGCAAATGACATAGCAGATAAAGGGCTAGTATCCAAAATCTGTAAGGAACTCATCAAACTCCACACCCGAAAAACAAACAACCCAGTGAAGAAATGGGCAGAAGATATGAACAGATACTTCTCCAAAGAGGACATCCAGATGGCCAACAGACACATGAAACGATGCTTAGCATCCCTCCTCACCAGGGAAATACAAATCAAAACCACACTGAGATACCACCTCATGCCGGTCAGAGTGGCTAAAAGGAGCAAACCAGAGGACTCTAGATGCTGGTGAGAATGTGGAGAAATAGGCACCCTCCTACACTGTTGGTGGGAATGTAAACTGGTGCAGCCCGTCTGTAAAACAGTGTGGTGATTCCTCAACAAATTAACAATAGAACTCCCCTAGCACTCAGCAATAGCACTACTAGGAATTTACCCAAGGGATACAGGAGTGCTGATGCATAGGGGCACATGTACTCTAATGTTCATAGCAGCACTCTCAACAATAGCCAACACATGGAAAGAGCCTAAGTGTCCATCAAAGGACGAATGGATCAAGAAGATGTGGTTTATCTATACCATGGAATACTACATGGCAATGAGAAAGAATGAAATCTGGCCATGTATAGCAACATGGATGGACCTTGAGGGCGTTATGCTGAGCAAAATAAGTCAGGCAGAGAAGGACAGATATCATATGTTTGCACACACAAGAGGATTAGGAGGAACTTAACGGAGGACCATGGGGGAGAAGGAGGGGAAAAATAGTTGGGGAGAGGGAGAGAGGCAAACCATGAGAGACTCTTGAATGCTGAGAACAAACTGAGGGCAGATGTTGGGCGGGGAAGAGAAGGGGGGTAATGGGCACGGAGGAGGGCACTTGTGGGGATGAGCACTGGGTGTTATATGGAAACCAACTTGACAATAAACTATTAAAAAAATTTAAAAAAATCTCCAAATAGATTAAAGACCTAAATGTGAGACCTGAAGCAATAAAAATCCTAGAAGAAAATATAGGCAATAATTTCTTTGACATCAGCTCATAGAAACATTTTTCTAGCTATGTCTCCTCAGGTAAAGGAAACCAAAGCAAAATTAAACTACTGGGACTACAATAAAAGACTTTTGCAGAGCAAAGGAAATCATCAACAAAACAAAAAGGCATCCTACTGAATGGGAGAAGAAATTTGCAAATGACATATCTGATAAGGGGTTAATATCTAAAATACATACACACACACACACAGAGAGAGAGAGAGAGAGGAATATTATTCAACCATAAAAAGTATGCAATCTTGCCATCCACAACGATGTGGATGGAGCTAGAGAATATTATGCTAAGCGAAATAAGTCAATCAGAAAAGATACCATCTGATCTCATTCATATGTGGAATTTATGAAACAAAACAAATGAGCAAAGGAAAAGAGAGAGGGAGAGAAACCAAGAAACAGACACTTAGCTGCAGAGAACAAATTGGTGGTTACCAGAGGGGAGGTGGGAGGGATGGGTGATGGGGATTAAGGAGTGCACTTGTCATGGTGAGGACCCAGCAATGTATGGAATTGCTGAATCACTATCTTGTACACATGAAACTAATATAACACTGTATGTTAACTATACTGGAATTAAAATTAAAAACTTCGAAAGTAAAAAAAAGTTTGAGGCCAAAAAAGAAAAGGTAGTGAAATAAAGGAGTAACCAAAAGGGAAGAAAAAATAAAGTGATGGTAACAGTTTAAGTTGACAAGAAGGTTTTCAAAAGTGAGTGATCAAATATTCTAAAGTATCAAATATTCTAAAGAAGTCACAGAAAGGTAGGGTGCCTGGGTGGCTTAGTCGGTTAAGCGTCCGACTTTCGCTTAGGTCATGATCTCGCGGTTTGTGGGTTCGAGCCCCGCTTCGGGCTCTGTGCTGACTGCCAGCTCAGAGCCTGGAGCCTGTTTCAGTCTGTGACTCCCTCTCTCTCTGACCGTCCCCTGCTCACGCTCTCTCTCTCTCTCTCCTAGAAATAAATAAAACATTAAAAAAAAAAGAAGTCACAGAAAGGTAAAATTAAAAAATAATGAGTATGTTTAATAATTAGGATATGACTGACAATCTTTAAAGGGGTGGCTTTAACTGATAGGTGAGGGCAATACTCAAATTGCAAAGGGTAAAGAAATAGCAAATAAGATAGTAAATAAACTCTTTAAAATATTGACAGTAAAGACAAGAAATGCAAAGAAAATGCAAATCTCCTTCGTTCTAGAAAAATGCCTGAAAATATTAGCAGGAGAAGGAATGTGGTAGAGAGAAAGAGATGAAATGAACGTACAAAATAACGGAGTAAAGTTGTGGAGCAAATGGAAGAGATAAAGTGCAGGATTAGCTTTCAAAAAGTGAGAAATGTCTTTTTCTGAGATGTCTGCATGAAGGGAGAAAAACTTGTGGGGGAAAGAAGTTAATCTTAGGAAAAATGAGAAGGATGACCTCGGGGTAGTTAGTAGGAAAGAGACGAACAACTAAGAGACTAGAATGAAACCTTGAGGGTATCGAAAAGGATTTAAACAGGTGTTGCAGGAAAAAAAAAGAGGTCTTTTTAAAAACACAGAACCAAATTAAAGTTAAAAATCATGAATTCAGAGAGATGCCTGGGTGGCTTAGTTGGTTAAGTGTCAGACTTTTTCAGCTCAGGTCATGATCTTGCGGTTCATAGGTTTGAGCCCCGCACTGGGCTCTCTGCTGTCAGCTTAGAGCCTGCTTCGGATACCCTGCAATGCCTCCCTCCATCCTTCCCTACCCTGCTTGTGCTCTCTCTCTCTCACTAATAAACCTTTTTTTTTTAAATCATGGATTCAGAGCTAATTAAAGCAAACACAGTTTGGTAGTTTGGAAAGCAGCACAGAGAAAGATCAAAAAGGATAAAAAATTCAAGGATAGCAAGGTTAAACATGACTGAAAATATAAAATATTCTAGGACAAAAAGCAAGCAACATTCAAAACAGATGACCTGAAGGGTGAGGATGATATAAAGTTTGGTGCTGCTGGACTGGAAAGAAAGATCAAGACTCAAAATCATCATATAATGAGAATTCAAAATGAATAAATACTATATATGATGAGGTACATTGGGACAGAGGTAAGGAAGGGGGTAACATGTAACAGAGGGTTTGTTACGATCTGCAAGAAAACCACTTTATTTCTGACTGAAAATACATGTAACAACCTCAGTTTGAATAATCAACTTAACATATTTATATCTGAACAATTTTTACATATTTTTAAGAATCCTTCCTGAAAGAATAAAGCTGCTACTAATGAGGTCCAAATGAAAGTCGTGAAGTAGTGTGGTCTCTGAAGTGTTTCTCTAGTACAGAGTACATGGTAGATGCTCAAGTCGAACTGATGCCTATAAAAAGGAACTCTAACAGTAGCATCATGACTGGAATATCCCCTATAGTCTCTCATTTCACATTTCATTCATTGAATGCAAAGATAAATGGCTTGAAAGACTAATGGACAAAGATGGATGAAAGGAAGGGGCAGAAGGGAGGGAGAGAGTGCATTCATGTGAGTGCCAATATTGTTCTTAGCATCTCTGACAAACCTGCAGTCTCTCAAAGTGACTCGTTTGAAGACGCTAGCCCTCTTGTGGTTACACATATTTATTTGACAAATATTTTAAAAACATTAAAAATTTTATGTTTGAAAGTACTTTAAAAAATTTTTTAATGTTTTATTTATTTCTGAGAGAGAAAGAGAGACAGACAGACAGCGTGAGCAGGGGAGGGTCAGAGAGAGAGGGAGATACAGAATCTGAAACAGGCTCCAGGCTAGCTGTCAGCACAGAGCCCAACATGGGGCTCGAACCCAGGAACCGTGAGATCATGACCTGAGCTGAAGTTGGACGCTCAACCAACTGAGCCACCCAGGCGCTCCAAAAATACCACTTTGTAAAAGACTTAGAAAAACAAATTTCCTATCAAACCTATTATTTTTTTAAAATTCTTTAATGTTTTAATTATTTCAGAGAGAGAGAAGCATGAGCATGAGAAGGGGAGGGTCAGAGATAGAGAGAGAGAGAGAGAGAGGGAGAGAGACAGAGACAGAGACAGAGACAGAGACAGAGACAGAGAATGAATCTGAAACAGGCTCCAGGCTCTGAGCTAGCGGTCAGCACAGAGCCTGACGTGGGGCTCGAACCCATGAACCGTGAGATCATGACCTAAGCCAAAGTCAGATGCTTAACCAACTGAGCCACCCAGGTGCCCCCCTATCAAACCTATTCTAATTTCACTGCTCTAACTGCTCTTAAAACTTTTGTCCCCTTAGTGGCGCCTGGGTGGCTTAGTCTGTTAAGCGTCCGACTTTTGCTTAGGTCATGATCTCGCGGTTCGTGGGTTCGAGCCCCGCTTCGGGCTCTGTGCTGACTGCCAGCTCAGAGCCTGAAGCCTGTTTTGGAGTCTGTGTCTCCCTCTCTCTCTGACCGTCCCCTGCTCACGCTGTCTCTCTCTCTCTCCTAGAAATAAAAATATTAAAAAAAAAAAAACGCTTTTGTCCCCTTAATTTTCATGAGTTATTACACTGGAAAATAATATTAAGTAATATCCTAGATGTTCCCTATTGCTAGATCCTTTTAGCTCCTATGTGACAAACTGACTTCTAAAAAAAACAACTTTATTTTTAAAAAACAAACATGTTAAATGGAAATTTTTATTGGTGGCGTACATGTTTAACTTACCTCACCATATGATTTATAAAGGCTTTGTTGCAATTAGTGTTGTATTTGCAAAAATTGCAGTGGATATATATTGAAAAGTGGCTTGCAAAATCTTTTATTTTGGAATGACACTCAATGCACTTGTGAATTCCCCGACGGCACCTTATGGAGACAGAAAAAAAAAAACAATGAAAATTTCTCATGAAACAAAAATAATAAGGTAAAGCCTTAACATTTTATTAATTGAAGCTAAGATGTTTAAATTAGCATCATTAAATAGAGACATAATTTGAAAATGTGATTGGACACAACGAGCTAGAATAAGTGTCAAAAATCAAACACCATTTAATGTTACCCTGGAATAAAAAACGATCGCATTAATCAATTCAATGATTACAAGATATAAGCACAAAACAGAGGACTAGGGTAAATGATGAAAACTTTACAATGAACACTAATTCTAGTTCTGCCCCGCAGTTGTAAAAAGTACCTTTTTATTATCTTCTTGGCCTTTATGCCAGACAAGTGATTATCATGTCAATGAGCAAGGGAGCTCTGTGATATGGTCAATTATACTAAAATAAACCTGTAATATTTAATATTCAATGAGTATTATATATCAGGAATAAAAGATATTACCTTAAGTTCTTCAAAGCTATGCTGATTTTATTCTTTCTGTTGCGTTGTCTCTTTTGTTTAGAAGAGGTTTTTCTGGTCTTGTATTTAGATGTACCTCTACCCTGCCTTTTGGCATGAGGTTTATTTGCACGGGGTACACCTGCATGAGGCTTACTTGTCTTAGATTTACTTGTGGTAGATTTTATATTTTTAGCAGATGTACTTTTAGACCTTGGAGGTGTGATTTGCAAAGAAGAAGTGCTTGGAACACTGCTACTGGGAGATGTAGTTACTGGTTTTGAATAAAGAGGTCCAACTGAGGCTCGAATAGTAACCTATAATAATGAGGACAATACATACATACATATTTTAGAAAATTAATCATCACATTAACATTAAAAAGATCACTGCATGCCTTGACATTATAGTCAATTAGTTTTTGACAAGGGTACCAAAACAACTCAGCGGAGGAAACAATATTCTTATCAAGCAAATGGTGTTAGGACAACAAGATATGTAGATGCAAAAGAATGAATTTGGAACCCTACCTCATACTAGATACTACAAAACTCTCAAAAGAAAGCAAAGGAGTAAAGATCTATGATTTGGGGTTAGGCGATGACTTCTTAAATATGATAACAAAAGCATAAGCAACCAAAGAAAAACAGATTAACTGGACTTCATAAAAATTTTAAACTTTTGTGCTTCAAAGGACACTGTTAAGAAAATATTAAGACACCCCACAGAATCAGATAAAATATTTGCAAATCATATTTCTAATAAGGGACTCATGTACACAATATATAAAGAACTCTTACAACTCAATAAAAAGACAAATAACTGAATTTTAAAATGGGCAAATGATCTGAGCAAGCACTTCTTTAAAGATATACAAATGGCCTGTAGCAACATGGATGAAACTTGAGGGTGTTATGCTGGGCGAAATAAGTCAGGCAGAGAAGGACAGATACCATATGCTTGCACGTATAGGAGGATTAGGAGAAACTTTACGGAGAACCATGGGGGAGGAAAGGGGGAAAAACAATTGGGGAGAGGGAGGGAGGCAAACCAGGAGAGACTCTTGAATGCTGAGAACAAACTGAGGGTTGATGAGGGTGGAAGAGAGGGGAAGGGGGGTGATGGGCATGGAGGAGGGCACTTGTGGGGATGAGCACTGGTGTTATATGCAAACCAACTTGACAATAAACTAAGAAAAAAAAAAGATCTACAAATGGCCAATAAACACTTGAAAAGATACTTAACAATCATTAGTCATCAATAAAATGCAAATCAAAACTCCAGTGAGGTAGCACTTTAGACCAACTAAAATGGTTACAGTAAAAAATAAAATAAAATAAAAGGACAGATAATAACACGTATTAAAGATGTAGAGAAATTGCAATGCTCAGCTCATATATTTCTGGTAGGAATGTACAATGGTGCAGTAGGTTTGAAAAGCAGTTTGGCAGTTCCTCAAAATGTTAAAATTAAGAGTTACCATGTGGGACACCTGGGTAGCTCAGCTGGTTAAGTATCTGACTCTATTTTGGCTCAGGTCATGATCTCCTGGTTTGTGGGTTCAAGAACCATGTTTGGCTCCATGCAGCATGGAGCCTGCTTGGGGATTCTCTCCCCCTCTCTTTGCCCTTCCCCTGCTCTCTCTCAAAAAAATAAAAATAAAAACTTAAAAAAAGAGAGAGTTCTCATATGACCCAGCAATTCCACTCCTTAGCAATTCCACCTAACAGAAATGAGGAAGTATGTCCTCACAAAAACTTGTCCATGAACTTTCATAAGAGAATTCTTTATAATAGCTAAAAAGTGAAAACAACCCAAATGCTCATGAAGTAATGAATGGATAAATCAAATAAAAAAGAATAAATTGATGCAAGTTTTAATATTGATGGATCTCACAAATGTGAGGCTAAGTGAAGGAAGCCAATCATAAAAGACAACATACTGTAGGATTCAATTAAAAAATTTTTTTAATGTTTACTTATTTTTGAAGGAGAGACACGAGCATGAGTGGGGAAGGGGCAGAGAGAGAGGGAGACACAGAATCTGAAGCAGGCTCCAGGCTCTGAGCTGTCAGCACAGAGCCCAATGCAGGGCTTGAACCCACGAACTGTGAGATCATGACCTGAGCTGAGGTTGGACGCTTAACTGACTGAACCACTCAGGGGCCCCTGAAATGATTCCATTTTTATGAAATGTCCAGAACAGGAAAATCCATAGGAACAGAAAATAAAGTATGCCTGGGGCTGGTAGAGAGGAAATAGGGAATGACTCCTAACAGGTACAGGGTTTCTTTGGGGGGTGATAAAAATGTTCAAAAATAGGTTGTAGTGATGTTTGCACAAATCTGTGAATATGCTAAAAACCACTGAATTATATCTCAATAAAGTTGTTTTACAAAAAAATCACTGCAATTCAAAATTTAAATATCATTATTTTGAAAATGGTAAATACAAACTACAATCAGTTAAGTCTCCTATTTATTCTAAATGGTCATACCAATTTAATGAAATTTACCTCGTTATTTATTTATTGTTGTAAATTACAGTTTTGTACTAGCATTTCTATGTCAACAGATATTAATGGATAATTAGGAGTTAGTGCAAATTATATGAATATCAAAAAAAGCACATTCTATGGCTATTTTATGCTCTGATATAACTAAGTAGCTTTCACAAACCTAGAAGTCAAAATTTAAATCTCAAAACCAGAAATAACCCTGGAAAGTCTTGCATTACTCTTTAGTAACTATATAAACAGATCTCCAGTAAACATGACCTGCTGTATCTGGGGGCTCATTGGTCAGGATTTATAATTCCAAAGGTTACTGTGGAGGTCACATCAATTCATTATACAGAATGAAGAGTTTAAAAATATTCAGAATTACCCTAACTGGGGCTAACATAACATTTATCATTTAGTATTCAAAAAAGATGATGTTCAGTTATACCCAATGATTAATAATGGAAAACACAGTTGCCTATTAACATTCTCTTTAATCACCTGATTATACTACTCCCATGTACTTGAGGACCACCAATGAGGAAGTCCTCTGAATGTTTTTTTAATGTTTTATTTGTGAGACAGAGATAGAGACAGTGTGAGCAGCGGAGGGTCAGAGAGAGAGGGAGATACAGAATCTCAAGATAGGCTCCAGGCTCTGAGCTAGCTGTCAGCACAGAGCCCGACGTGGGCTCAAACCCACAAATCGTGAGATTATGACCTGAGCCAAAGTCGGATGCTTAACTGACTGAACCACCCAGGCACCCTGGAAGTCCTTTGAAATACATGTGATCTGGTATCATAAAAAAGCACTGAGCTAGGGGTCAAGAGACCCAGGTTAAATCTCAATACTACCTCTTACTAGCCATGTGACCTTGAGTACGTAATCCTTAAGCCTCATTGATAAGATGGAAATAATACCTGTCTTGTCTACCTCACTAAATTGCTATTGGATTAAATAACAGAATGTATGAAAAGTCACATAGCTTAATTCTAAAGTGTTACAAGACAGCTATTACTATGATGATGATGGTCATTATATACTTGTTATTATTATTAATAAGAGAAGATATGGGAAAGGACTGCACTGCTTACACTAGTCTTTTGCATGTCTAGTCCCAGCATGGAATGAATGGATTATAGGGAAGGATACTGGATAGCTTCTCTCACTCTAGATCTTCAGAGCACTGCTTTACATTGTTTAATTAACTCAAATAGTAGACATATTTACATTCAAAGGTAAGCACTCAAAGCCAAATATAAATGTTTTGGAATTATTTCACTTTGGATTGTGTATCCTTCCACTGGAGCAAATAATTAAGAGGTGACTTTACTTACATAAAGAAGTCAGAGAAAACAGGTGTACATAAGGCAAATAGGGAAAAGGAAATTTGTAGTCAGAAATGTGTGTTTGCTCACTTACTATAGCAATGCTACTTTAGAGCACTGCTATTCAAGAACAATGCTTTTTTGACAGTAGATTCAGTAATACCAACTTCAACAAAGTATAGCATTCAAGGCACTATGACAGATGCTGGGGGACACAAAGATAAATTAAAGAGGATTCCTAACCTTACAGTCTAGCAATTGAAGCAGACATTTTTGCTGCCAACTGGAAGAACTTAGAAACAGCCTACAGAATATTGAAACAACTCAGTGATTCAGCCTACAGTTAATCTAGTTGCAATCACTACAAAGGAATATGCTCTAATATAGCACGTCAATTAACTAAAAAAAAATGGATAGGTTTCTTCCCAACCAAAAGTATGATAAAACCTAAACTAAAATCTTCATGACAAGCAGAAATTAACTTTTAATATTAGAGTCAATAGATAAACCCAGGCAGGGGGCACCTGGCTTGCTTAGTCAGTAGAGCATGTGACTCTTGATCTCAGGGTTGTCAGTTCGAACCCCACAGTGGGTATAGAGATTACTTAAAAATAAAATCGGGGGTGCCTTGGTGGCTCAGGCAGTTGAGCATCTGACTCGGTATTGGCTCAGGTCTTGATCTCGTGGTTGTGAGATCAAGTCCTGCATCGGACTCTGTGCTGGCGTGGAGCCTGCTTGGGATTCTCTCTCTCACCCTCTCTCTGCCTCTCACCCCTGCTCGTGCTCTCTCTCTCAAAATAAATAGACATTTAAAACAAAACCAGGCAGGAATATACTTCTATTATCACACAAGATGTTAAAATGAAACATATTTAAAGCTCACTTTTGTACCAGGAGGCAATCCTTCTAACTCTTTAGGCTTTATAAATGTCCGATGCTGGGTCTTGTGATCCAGTTTCTCTTTGCAGGTCAAAAATTGTAGTCTGCACTTTGTACAACGATGAACTCCTTTTTTCTGTTTATAAAAAACATTAAAAAATACTATGAGAAATAATAATTTCTATCACCACAAATCCTTGAATTTGAAATTGCTCTTAACTGCAATAGCTAAATAATTTTTAAAAACCAGTATTTTAACATATCCCATCATAAATAATGCCAGACTATTATTTCATTTTTTAAAAAAACACTGCTTGCATTAGCATTTGTGTTTCAAAAGTATTTGTGGGGCACCTGGCTGTGCAGTTGGTAAAACATGGGAACTCTTGATTTCAGGGATTTAAAAGTTCAAGCCCCACACTGGGTGTAGAGATTACTTAAAAATGAAATCTTAAAAAAAAAGTATTTGTTGCCATAAAGGTAATCAAAACAAAAGTTATATCAGTTAGGTTCAAATGTGACAAGTTCTACACCTTTGTAGTATGAAAGCTTTTTAATTATAAATTTGAGTATAAATCATTCAAGCACGTGATGTGAAAATGAGTTATACTGAATTTTTATCCTAGAAAAGGTGAAGTATTTTTAATTTTTAAACATTTAAAAATGTTATTTATTTAACTATTTTTGAGAGAGAGGGTGGTGGGGGCAAGGTGAGGGAAGACAGAGAATCCCAAGCGGGCTCTGTGCTGATAGCTGGTAGCACAGAGCCCGATGCAGGGTTTAATCTCACGAACCTCGAGATCACAACCTGAGCCAAAATCAAGAGTCAGACACTTAACTAAACCCCTCAGGCGTCCCATTTTTTTTTTTTAATTTCTATTTGTTTCACAAAAAAAATTGAGCTTTCTAGGAACACCTAGGCGACTCAATCAGTTAAGCATCCGACTCTTTTTTTTTTTTTTTTTTTTTTTTTAAGCATCCGACTCTTGATTTCAGCTCAGGTCAAGATCTTGGGGTCTGTGAGATGAAGCCCTGCATAGGGCTCTGTGCTGACAGAGAGGAGCGTTTGGGATTCTGTCTCCCTCTCTTTGTGCCCCTCCCTCACTTGTTCATTCTCTTTCTCTCTCTCTCAAAATAAACAAACATTTAAAAAAATTTGAAATTTCTAAAACCAAAACAAATTTAACCAGACATTCCCTCCAAAAGTGCTGTTATAGAAATGATTGTATAAAGCAGTGCTGTCCAGAAGAACTTTCTACAGTGTATGATAATGTTATATAGCTGCACTGTATAATATGGTATTCATCAGCCACACGTTGTTATTGACCACCTGAACTGTGGAAAGTTCAACACAGGAACTGGTTTTTCAATTTTAGTTAACTTTAATTAACTTAAATTTAAGTAGACACAGATGGCTAGTGGCTGTTATATTGGACAGCATGGCTATAGAAGTACCAATCAGAAAAACGGATCCCAATCTATTGTCAGAGAACTCCTTGACTACATCCCTTCTCAAACTTAGGACTATTATTATTTTATCCATGAGAAGAAACAGGACCTAAGAGAGATCTAAGTCATTTGCTCATAGCTAGTTGGTGTTCTATTATACATTATTAATTACAATCTTTATGCATGTGCTTTCATTAATTAAAAAATATATTCTATATTTATAAATTTACAACAACATACAAATGCAAAAGAATGTTTTCTCCAAAGCTGTATCTCCACAGGCCCATCACTATTTTCATGTAAAGCATAATCAATCATTTAGGAAAAGCAAATGAGTTAACATATATATGTAAGTACTATTGGTTACAGGTGTACAGCAGGCATTTGATAAATAAAAGTTCTTTAAAAAATTCAAAGCAATATATAAATATAGTATGTTTGTATTACTATTTTAGTTTCATTTTTAAGGCAATTTTAGAAGTATGGTGCATTGGATCATATCCTAGATATAGGCAATGTAAACAGATTCAGCTAATACGTGCTCGAGAGAGAGAAGGAAAGAGGGAAAAAGATCTCAGTCAAGAAACAGATAGCAAGGTTACAGGACAGAGATTCCCCAGAGTACAATTCCTAGAAATCTTTTCTCTACCTGTGTATATACCTCATCCAGTTTCATGATTTTAAATACGATCCATCCAACTGCCTACTTGCCATCACTAGTTGATACCTAACAGGCATTTCAAATCAACATGGACAAAACTGAACTCTAGATTTTCCCCCATCTACCCTGCAAAAAAAAAAACAACAACAAAAAACAGAAACAAACAAAAAAGCTGTTCCTTCCCTAGTCTTTCCAATATCTCAGTGTATGGGAACACCATTCTTGCAGGGGCTCAGGACGAAAGAACTCAGTTACACTTAACTCATGCTTTTCTTTCACATCCCACATCCACCAACCCATTAATAAAACATGTCAGCTCTACCTTCAAAAACAGTATTTCCACTCTTTATCATCTGTTCAGCCACCATGCCAGTCCAAGCCACTCACCCGGGCTTTTCCAATAGTCTCCTGCCTTCTCCTTGTTTCCACCCTTTCATCCTAACAGTCTATTCTCTCTATAGCTGCCATAGTGATCTCTCACATGCTTAATGCTTCCAATGGTTTTCCACACCACGTCAAAATACTAACTCTGGCTCACAAGACCCTATGCCATCTACTCTGCATTCTATTGCTACAATCTCATTTTGACCTACTTTTCCTCCCACTTGTTTGCCATACTCCAGCCTCATGGGCCCCTTGCCCCTCCTTGAACATCTAGATATATGCTCACCTCACTGCCTACTTACTGTTCCCTCTCCTTGGAATGTTCTCTCTGAGATATCCACATAGCTAACTCCCTTATTTCCTTTGGAGAGACTCTCTTTGACCACCCCATATAAAAAACAGAAACTGCTGGGCGCCTGGGTGGCTTGGTCGGTTAAGCGTCCGACTTTCGCTTAGGTCATGATCTCGCGGTTCGTGGGTTCAAGCCCCGCATCGGGCTCTGTGCTGACTGCCAGCTCAGAGCCTGGAGCCTATTTCGGAGTCTGTGTCTCCCTCTCTCTCTCTGACCCTCCCCTGCTCACGCTGTCTCTCTCTCTCCTAGAAATAAATAAAAAATATTAAAACAAAACAAAACAAAACAGAAACTGCTTCCTTGACATCCTAAGCACTGGCACTCCCTAACCTCACATGTTTTCTTCCCATGGTACTTATCATCAGCTGGCATATATATACATTCAGACATAATACACATACTCTTTCTCAGCTACCATGCACATTCCAGAAAGTACAAACTATTTTGTTCACTTCTGTAAAACAGTCCATGCCATATATTAAGCACTCAATAAATATTTGTTAAATAAATAATGAGGAAGACAACAAGAGTTTGACAGAACATGTACATGAGAAGCAGGCACAATTTAACTAGCTCAAAATGTCTGCCATGCTATTCAATGAGCATTTGCCCAGAGTCCTGGGATGGGAGACATTAATCAACTATTCCCTTAGTTAGACTCGAGTCTTGGATCTCTCTCTTATGCATGTATGATTGAGATGTGAAAAGGAGAATAATACAGAGGGGCGCCTCAGTGGCTCAAGTTGGTTAACCATCTGGCTCTTGATCTCAGCTCAGGACTTGATCTCAGGGTTGTGAGCTCAAGCCCTGCACTGGGCTCTGCACTGGGCATGAAGCCTACTTAAAAAAAAAAAAAGGGATAATAGTATGCAGAGTTTTAAATAATATGATGTTCAACCAAAAAATTGGTGATTTGTTCCAAGGATAGAGAATAACCTGTCTGTGTTGAACTTTCTGACAAACATACCATTTTGTTTGGGTGATTTGAGGAATTTTCAAGGCTAATTCTGACTATCTATAATATCTGCTTTTAGACCTAATGTCAATAAAGGATATGACTCAATGGTAAAACCTTGGGCTCTAAGTCAACTTTTGGCTCTGCCATTTATTACGGAATGTGGCCCTGGGGAAAGTAACTTACTCTCTACAAAGCTTTGTTTCCTCATCTATGAAATGAAAATGATCACATACCTGCTTTGTAGGCTGTTTGTGAGAATTAAATAAAATAATGCAAGTAAAAACAATGACTGTCATATGGCAAGTGATTAGTATATATTAGCCACTTGTTATTTCTATAAAGATCTAATAAGAATATCTAACACATATAAAATCCTTCGTTTCTTAAAAGTTGTGCAAACCATATTGTTAGCTCTTAAAATCACTCAACTCATGCTAATATATTCTTTTTAGGAAAAAGTTACAACCAAAGTCTTCAGAAAGAATAAAATGAGCCATAGATTTAACAATTCCTATTATATAAAATCTCACTAATATAAGCTCAATTACAAGTTTATAATCCTGCTTAGCTATGGTTTTTGAGTCTTTTGTGGACAACTGTGTAAATTGCAAGCACTCTGAAAAATGCTTGATGATCCTATTATTAGATTATTTTCTCTGTTGACTGCTCACTGACTACCTCTTAGGTACTCCAAACTCACAAGAATTGGGCACCAAGTCCTTAAGACTCCTCCCAGGTTTGATGAGGTAGAAGAACTTATAAGACTTAGAAACTGTTATACTCATAGATATGATTTATTACAGTGAAAGGATACAGAGCAGGATTAATAAAGGAGAAAAAATGCACTGGGTGGAGTCTGGAGGATACTGGTACCAGTTTCCAAGTGCACTCTTCAAACATAGTTGCATAGGTCATGCTTAATACCTCAGCAACTAACTGCAGCAACATGTATGAAGTGCTTTTTACCAGGAATGCTCTCTTGAGTATAAGAAACCAGGCTGTTGTTTTTTGTTTTTTTTTCATAGGGTTCAGTCACCAAATCTTCAGACTCCCAGAAGAAAAGCAGGTGTTCACCATAATCATATCTTTGTACAAATGATCTAGAAAAGCTGGTATAATATGGCTCAAGGTTCCAGACATGTAAAACACTCATCAAATATTAACAAAGGCTCAATTTCCAGGAGTTAGCCAAGGGCCAATTATGCCAATATGCAAGTAGACCCGTTTGAAAATGTACATGATTTGAACAACGCAGACCTGGTGGGTTAACTCTTTTCTATATACATGGCAAGATAAGACATAATTTAGGGCATGAAGAGTGACTATAGACCAGGTAAACCGCTTAAGAGACATGGTCCACATGGCAGGCCCATCCATCTCTTTACCTTTCTAAGGATATTATTACTCCCTCTGCATCTGTACCTCACTCGGGAGCTTAGTAAAGCATGGTAGGAAGAATTATGTTAAAAGCTTCATAATGAAGTAGTTAGAGCTAGTATTTTACATCTCATTCTTCCTTTCAAAATCAAAGGTCAAAACATGAAATAAAGCACCAAGACCAGTGTTTTCCAAACTATTCCTCAAGAAATGTTAATAGGTATTGTGCAAATAAATGGTTAAATAAATTTTGGGAACAGTATCTACAATATCCCTTCCTTGGATATTTATAAGGGTTTCTAGTGTATTAAAAAGCTCTATTTTCAGTCATGACATAGGTGATCCTGAATGTATTTGGATATTTTACTTTTTATAATTTTTTTTCAATTAACAAGTACAAGTTGATTTCATAGTCATCTAATGACTGAAACTGAAAACAATGCTGAGTAAACAATGCTGAGAAAACCAGTGCTGAGTAAATTGGCCAAGACAATCAATAATTATACAATGTAATGAGCTGATGAGCAAGAAGACAAAACTTTCATTATATAATTGCATTCAATAAACTCATTGACTTGTAATTTTGTCAAAGGTACCACTGCTCTTTCAAACACTCAAGAATAGGCTGTTTAGGGGTACATGGGTGGCTCAGTCGGTTAAGTATCTGACTCTTAATTTTGGCTCAGGTCATGATCTCGTGGTTCATGAGTTCAAGACCTGCATTGGGCTCTGTGCTGACAGCTGACAGAGCCTGCTTGGGATTCTCTTTCTCTCTGTGCCCCTCTCCCCACTCTTAAAAATAAATCAATAAACAAACAAAAAAAAAGAACAGGATTACTGTCTCATCAAAGTTTTCAGCCTAAATAAAGGATGGTCTAATTGTGTCAGGAAAAGACCCAGCAAAGTCAAGACTGGCAAAGTCACCCAGGAAACAAGTTCTAACCTAAATTCAGGCCTCTGGCAGAGTTCACATATCTAGAAATAAGTGTCATTGCTATTTCCTTTGTCACTAGCTGCTGCAAAAGACCATTCTGGGTTGCTAATAACAACCACATGTCTTTTCATAATAGATAGTGAGCTAGAAAGTAGAAATGAAATTTGAAGAGAAGGAGAAAAAAAAAATGGAGTCCTCAAGCTTATCTTCCTTGGTTCAAACATACCCTTTTCCCTGCTCTTGATTTATTACCTTCAAAATCATTCCTGTTTTCACCACTTGTAGACTCCTGAAATATTCAACTTCATTATTTCCCTCATCTTTCCTCTTCCCTCTGTTCTAGGGCTCCTATTTTTACCTCAGAACTCTCCCTATTTAAGAGCCTCACCACCAACATGAAGTAGATAAAGGAGTGGAAATTTCACAAGTAATTCAGCATAAATTATAATTCAGCATAAATTATAAATTAATTGTCATTTGGAACCACTTAACTTTCCTTTTAGAACAAACATAACCAATACTCTAAGGTGTGTGTATATATGTGTATACACACACACACATACACACACACGTCTTTTTACTACGACAAAATGAACAAATAACTGCTAAATCTCACCTGATGCTTCATGTAATGATTCATGTAGGGAGTTGCCATTCTACTAACTTTGAGGCAAAATGGACACAGCAAGTTCTTAGTGTTTTCATGAGATGCTCTAAAATGATTCTCTACATCAGAAAATATTGAAGATCTAAACTGGCAAACCTAGAAATATAAAGAAGGTTTAGTTTAACTTAAAAGTTTATAATGGACATGCAATTATATCAAAGTAGCAATGATGAGGCATTTATTTAGAGGAATATTATGTAACGCTAATTCAATTCTGCTGCCTATACAACCAAGAATTCTATTACTGAAAATAATAAGTATAATCTTTAAAACAGAAAAATTATTATTGAAAGTTTAGGGATATGTTCCTAAATATAACCAGTTTTTCTTTTTTTTCAGACTTAGTATCCCCCCACCTTGCTTTAATTTTCAAATTTTGACACCTCTTGTCTTAGAAAGTTTTCCCTGCTATATAGAATAGAGCATTCTCTTCTTTGGATTTTAAATAGCACCCAGGCTATGACAAAGGAAATTTATCTCATCTTGCTATCTGATTGGGAAGCATTTCAAATTCTGGAAAAATACTCGTCTCAAAGCATTTATTTGAGTTCCCCATAACTAATAATTTCTTATTTTTCTGTCATGTCTATATTCTTCTCTACATGGTAAGAAAATCCATACACTGTCTTTCTGCAGCAGGGCATTTTGTTTGTCTAGCACAGGGGTCAATAAACTATGGTTTATGAAGTCTAAGCCACCATTGCCCATGTATATGAGTTACATCAAGGGAGTATCCACTATTGAAGAGTGTCTTCAATTTTAGTAACTCGTTTTATTCAAACAGTTAAAAAGATCAATAGGATACGATTTTGTGGCACATGAAAGTAAAATAAACATCTAAGTACATGATAAAATGTGTACCTGGCAAATATATGGCATTTCACCAGGTTTATGAGTGTCCTTCATATGTTGCAAAAGAGCATGTTCGTTTTCAAATGATAATTCACAGATTTTGCAAATAGCTGAAAGTGGAAAAAACACATTATACCATTTTAAGGATGTATATAAATAAAAGATTCATTTTGTATATCCATAACAATGGCAATAAGTAATAACAGTTATAGTAATAGTGACGGTGACTCCAGCAGTTCTAGGGTTGTTAACTCTGTAATGCTGTTCTATGGACTTTACTTATATGCCATAACTGAGAGAGGTACTGCTATTTTTGTCCCCATTTTCCAGATGACGAGCCTGAGGCACAGAAAGATTAAATAACTTACCGGAGGTCTTAACAGCTATATTAAGATGCAGAACTGGAATTTAAATCCTAGTGAACTCCAGACGCCATGAGTTTTAACTATCATCACAGTTACTTTTCTTATTAGGGTGTAAATCAAGGCTATGGATTCCATAATTGCAAACCGGGGCATCGGAATTTTCTAACTTAGCCCCCTACGTACAACACATGAATTATGCAAAGGAAGTTTCTATTTACAAGATGGACTTCAGTTTCGGAAAGCAATTCTATCTAAAAGCTTATACAAGTTAAAGCTTGTTTTTTTTAACTGTGCCATCCTTTTAACTGTGCCATCCAATCTAAAGTCTATTTCTTATTCTTATGTTTCTTATCAGAAATTATAAGGACTCCTCAGTTTAGATGACCAAAATTATGGATGTTCACGACTTCAGCAAAATGGTGACTTACTAGAAAACTCATGCGGAGTGTGTGTACTCTCAATGTGACACTGCAACTGGAATGGTGTTGGGTACTGACGGTAGCAGTGCTGGCAGGTGGTGTGGTTTTCCCAACTCTCACTGTTCTGCTTCTCAAGTTCCAAATGATGCTTCATGTGGTTCATAAACCTGTAAATGATTGTCAACAGGTGTAAGCATTCAGATCGATAACCAAGGAAAAAACTCACAAATAAGTACTTGAACCTAAATGTTAAAAATACAATTGTATTACTCAAAATAATATCTCGAACCCCCTCAACAAAGCCATTCTCAGAATAAAATAGCCCTAACTGGTTTTGGTAACACTTAATGTAGAAAAAAAAAATCCTACAGTATCTTGACAGGACAGAGAGTAGAAATCTTGACCTATTAGCTTCTATCACCCTCTAAAACCATCAATTTGCCATCCTAGACTTTACTGATAAGGTAAAATGTTACTTAACATCTACAACATCTTTGGTTATCCAGTGTTTACAGTTCAGGTTTTATTTATTAAACAACATGTCAAAATGCTACAAGATTTCTAAGTGTTATAAAATATGGTTAGCTTAAAATTTCTAGATATTCTAATAATCTAGAGATCTGTAACTAGTCTTTTGAAATGAAACAAAAAGGAAATATCATGTTTAATATCAAATGGGCTAATCTTAAAGGAAAAACCAAAAGGCTATTGCTGAAAGAACTTCCAATATCATATGCCTAACGTTTAACTATAGTAAGTATATTAAGTATAGTAAAGAACTTAACCAGAGACCCACTTTCCTATGCATTTGACCAAAGTTACTACTATTATTTTCTGGTGTATTTTACTGTAAAAATGGTAAAGATATGGAAGGAGGTCACAGAATTCTCATCGTAACATTGTTTCAGTGTCATATCTCAAAGCACAATTCTCAGGGCGCCTGAGGGGCTCAGTCGGTTAAGTGCCCGTCTTCGGCTCAGGTCATTATCTCACGGTTCGTGGGCTCGAGCCCCACATTGGGCTCTGTGCCAATAGCTCAGAGCCTGGAGCCTGCTTCAGATTCTGTATCTCCCTCTCTCTCTGACCCTCCCATGGCTCACACTCTCTCTCTCTCTGAAATAAATAAAAATATTTTTAAAAAATTCAAAGCACAATTCTCTTCTGTTAAACTACTGGGCCACTAGCAATTGATGGCTGTTAGGACTTCATAAAAGGAGGTAAAAAAATGTGAAAACTCATATGAATCATATATGTGAAAGGTCTTTGAAAACTAGAAAGCACTGCCACAAATGTAGCATTCACATAATTGTTTTAGGTTTATATTACAGTGCATTTCAGGGGTTTTCCAGGCACTTCATTCTGGATCTTAGAATTCATCAGAAAATAAACACTAGGCTTAAAATGACCTGCAGGATACTTAAGAATGCTAGTTACAAAGAATAGTTACCAAGGGTAAATATTTTTAAGAGTTTACATACACGTGTGTGTGTGACAATATATACATATATACACATGACTGTCTCATCTAAGGGAAGGGCATTGATGTCTGCGATTTACTCTGAAAAGTAAAAAAAAAAAAATCAAATGGAGTCTATGTGGTAACACAAGTGAGGTAAAATGTTAATGGTAGAATCGAGGTGGTAAATATACAAATGTTCACTGTAAAATATTTTCAATTTTGCTGAATATTTGAAAATTTTTATAATAAAATCTTGAAAAAACAGTAGACTATATAACCAATGAAAAATACCAGTCAGTGTGTCTTGCTTGTTACTCTGTTCATACTATCTATCTTAGGATGACAGATATGTAATATGCCATATTACTCTAAGACTGCAAGATATTAAGCTCCTAAAATGTAAAGCATACATGTATAAACCTTCAAAATCGAGAATTAAATCTCTACTTTTAAAATATGTTAAATTATAAAATCAAAGTTTCATAAACTGGTACTTCTCTAAAGAGGATCTCTAAAGAGGATCATTAAAAATATCACTTTCTGGGGCGCCTGGGTGGCTTAGTCGGTTAAGCGTCCGACTTTCGCTTAGGTCATGATCTCGCGGTTCGTGAGCCCCGCGTCGGGCTCTGTGCTGACTGCCAGCTCAGAGCCTGGAGCCTGTTTCAGAGTCTGTCTCTCCCTCTCTCTCTGACCCACCCCTGCTCACGCTGTCTCTCTCTCTCTCTCCTAGAAATAAATAAAACATTAAAAAAAATTAAAAAAAAAATAAAAATATCACTTTCTAGGGGCGACTGAGTGGCTCAGTCGGTTGAGAGTCCGACTTTAGCTCAGGTCATAGTCTCGTGGATAGGGAGTCTGAGCCCACATCGGGCTCTCTGCTGTCAGTGTTGAGCCCGCTTTGGATCGATCCTCTGTCCCCCTCTCTCTTTGCACCTTCCCTGCTCGTGCACTCTCTCTCTCTCAAAACTAAACATTAAAAAATATTTTAATATCACTTCTTCTGCAAGGTAAATGTGGTAAAAATGATACCCATGAGTTGAAAAACTAGAGCATTAAATGAGGCTAATATGGAGGTCAAACTGGATAAAATAGTAGTTCTTGTGATAGGACAAGTAGATTCAAAAGTAGCTAAATAATAAAAATATCTCATTGAAAATTCCTAGTTCAATGATAAATAGACAAATGTGATTTTTCTCTAAGTTAAAAGAAATTTTGACCTTTCTTAAGCTTTGTTAAAAAAATATAACAAAGTGGATCCAAGTGTCAAACACCTAAAATACAGTAAAAAACAAAAACTTTTCAACACAATAATCTGCCTTTATTCTTAGTAGAAAGTGTTAAAATTGCTTATCTAGGATAGCACAGGAAAATAAAGGTACAATATTTACATCACTAGCATACCAATTTTCAAACAGAAATAGAAATAAATATTTACATACCTAATGTTATTTTTAAGAACTTTCAAGCAACTGAAGCATTTAAAGGTTGTATAAGTCTTCTGTTCTTCATCAACAGCCCCTTCATGTTTTCCATAGTAAAAGTCACTAACTAACATTATTAATTTTCCTTTTTCTGCACCAGTCTTATTTTCAGTATGTATAAGTTCTGCTTTAATCATTTCCAAGAATTTATTTACCATGTCTGGACAACAACGCTGAAAGAGAAAAGATATATGTATGCTTTAGTTACAGCTCTCTAAAAAAATTAGGTACCATGAATGATTCTGTGTTTATAACTAGGGCCAGCTTATGTAAAAATATGCTTGGCAATATATCTGGAGACATAGTCACCAAAATGTTCACTTCTTTCTTTATATAATCTAAAAAATTCAAACAATAAACACCCATTATCCTAATAATTTCAAAAACAAATTAAAAACTTTAAGACCAGGGATGGCTATATACCTAATACCATATTCCTCATAAGTAAAATTTTCAGATGCAAATATTTAATAATAATTTGATCCTTGGCCTGAAGTCATTCATTTCATATTTGTCATGGTATAGCTTAGGGGTACCTGGGTGGCTCAGCTGGTTAAGTGTCTAACACTTGATTTCAACTCAGGTCATGATCTCAGGTCATGGGTTCGAGCCCCACAACAGGCTCCATGCTGCCTGCTTTGAATTCTCTCTCTGCCCTTCCCCTGCTCGTGTGCATGCTCTTTCTCTGTCTCTCTCTCAAAAATAATAAACTTAAAAATTTTTAATGTATATTTTTGAGAGAGAGAAAGAGACAGAGAGAGAGGAAGAGCATGAGCAGGAGAGGGGCAGAGAGAGGGGGAGACACAGAATCTGAAGCAGATTCCAGCCTCCGAGCTGTCAGCACAGAGCCCAACACGGGGCTCAAACCCATGAACTGTGAGTTCATGACCTGAGCTGAAGTGGGAACTTAACCAACTGAGCCACGCAGGTGCCCCTCAAAATAAAAAAATAAACTTAAAACCTCGAGACTTCATATAAACTGATCCTAATGTGGAATACTTACATATGTAAAATTTTAATTTTCAATGAGATAAAACTAATTCATTTATTGTACACAGTTTTCAGTTTTGGAGTTTCTCCAGAAGAATTCTTTATGAATAACCAGAGAGCAAAAATATAAACTTTTCTAATAACTCAAACTACATACTCACAAAGCAACCATAAAGTGAAAAACTTAGAAAAATAAAGTACAAAAATTGTGACAGAATCAAAACCAATTAAACCTATCAGATCAATTAAATCTATCCTGTTAACAATACAAATGGGTGGGTTTAACCCAACTACTGAAAACAGAAATTCCACATAGGATAACAAAAGAAAAAACAATTCTGTGAAAGAGATGTACTAAAAACAAAGTGATTTGGAAGGGGTGAAAATAAAAAGATAAAGAATATAAATGTCAAACAAAATCATCCAAGCCAAAAAGGGAACACTTCATAAAAATGCTATAGGATACATTCACAATGAAGTTAAAAGAGATAGATCCATGTATATATATCCTAAATAGCGGCAGTCATCAAACAGAATTGGAAGTACCAAAGAAAATAGTATTAATTTGAAACTTGGAGACCAATTTGAAAACTGGCAGAGCAGGTAGATGAATATAAATGAAGATATAGGAACCTAAATAACATATTTGTATGTTAGAACTGACTGGTAACTATTAAATTCCATACTCTAAAAACAAATAATACCCCTTATTTTCAAGTTTCTATGTAACATCCCAGAAAATAGCCCATACAATTTTCAAATTGGGGAGAACAGTGTGAGAACCTGTACTTTGTCATCAATGAGAAACATCAAGTATCTCTATATTACATGGATAGGAAGACTGAAAATGCTGGTAAAAGTTAATTCTTATATAAAAACCAAAACCCAGAGTCCAGATCATGGGAATCACACTAAGGGAGGTGGAAATAATCATATATCAAATATAGTTTTGTCCAAGAATAAAAATTCTACTTGTAAATTTAGGACACTTCTACATTTTTTATAAAATGCTGAATTTCAGTAGAAAAACCTGCCAATCTCTGAAACAGCAAGCAATAGCTTTTCTTAAGTTGTTTCTTCGCTTTGCACTCTTCTCATGCCCTCTTTCCTGAATATAATCTACGTGGCCTTTTTTCTTGCCTCCTTTCCCCTGGCCTGCCATTTGTATTGGGCATGCAAGAATACAGACTATCTTTCCACAGACACACAGAACACTGCAGTATCTACTGAAATATTTTAAGTGGAGTAATACCTAGACCTCATACTCATTAATATTTTGAAAATTACCTAAACGGTGCCTGGGTGGCTCAGTGGGTTAAGCATGACTCTTGATTTCAGCTCAGGTCATAGTCTCCCAGTCATGAGATTAGGCCCTGGGACAGGCTTTGCACTGGGCATAGAGGCTGCTTGGGATTCTATTTCCCTGCCCCCGTCTCTCTACCCCTCCCCCACTCTTTCTTTCTCTCCCTCAGAATAAATGAACATTTTTTTAAAAAGAAAATTACCTAAAACCTAATTTCAAAAGCTTCCCACATCACAATAAAGCTAGAATTTGTAACAATCATACAAACTATACCATTACTTATGAAATGTTCCTCAATTAGTTTATGCCTGACGACTAAACATTGAAATGCAAGACTAAGGTTTTCATTGAGTAATGTGACATGCATATGTCACCAGACAAAAAAAATAACATAAAGAAAGGAATTTTTTAAGTACCATGAAAGATAAGCACCTAACAAAATGTCTGCCTTACGAGAGATTTGAAGAATGGCATGACCTAGTCAATAAAATATCCTGATTTTTTATTTTTTGAAAATTTTTTAATGTTTATTTACTTTTAAGAGAGAGAGACAGAGACAGAGCACGGGTGGGGGAGGGGCAGAGAGAGGAGGAGACACAGAATCCAAAGCAGGCGCCAGGCTCTGAGCTGTCAGCACAGAGCCTGATGTGGGGCTTGAACCCACAAACCATGAGATCATGACCTGAGCAGAAGTCTGGTGCTTAACTGACTGAGCCACCCAGGTGCCCCTAAAACACTCTAATACATTATTTTCATTAAAAGTTAAAATACAGTATGTAAAGAGATTCAAGCACCATGTGCCCAGCTGCCCAGGAATCTCCTGGGCCTACAGACCGAGCTAGGGGTGATTCGGCCCAGGGCCCTGAGGGCCCTACCAGTCAAAGGCTGCAGCCCCTGCGTGACTTGGTAGCTGTCACGGGACTAACTTATCTGGGAAACGTTTGGGATTGAATAAAGCAATGGGACTGAATAAAGCAATTCGATTGGAGGCTACTCCTGAGCAGAAGATTCTTCCACCCATGAACCATTTTCATAGGTAGGGGCAAATGGTTTTGCAAATGAGATTTGACATAGACATTTGCCCTGCAAGTGGTAAAATGCTAGAAATGATGGGCACCTGGGTTGCTCAGTCAGTAGAGCATCCAACTCTGGCTTAGATCATGATCTCACAGTTTGTGAGTTCAATCTCTGCTTCAAGTCCGCTGCTGTCAGTGCAGAGCCCACTTCAGATCTTGTCCTCCCCCTCCCCGCCTCTTTCCTGCTTGCAGTCTCTCTAAAATAAATACATCTTTAAAAATTTTTAAATTAGAAAAATGCCAGAAATGAAGAGAAAGGAATGTTAAGATCTGAGAAATAAATGATTAACCTGGGAAAGCTCCAACACCTGCAAACACTCTGAGGGCTGTCACTAAGAAAAACACTGGACTTTTTACAAAGTCTTCTATACATAATATTTTTAAAGAGATTGGAGTGGGGGTGTGCCTGGGTGGCTCAGTCATTTAAGCATCCGACTTTATCTCAGGTTCATGATTTCAAACCCCACATCTGGCTTTGCACTGACAGTGCAGAGCCTGCTTCGGATCCACTGACTCACTCTCTGCCCCTCTCCAACTCTCTCTCAAAAATAAACAAACATTAAAAAAAATTAATAAACAGGTCAGAGGTAGGGAAGATCCTCACCTCATTTGGGACTATTCTATTTCTTAAAGTGCTACATACTGTGTTTAATGTATTCATATATTCTAAAGCCTTAGAAAGAGATCCATGACAATCACGTCTCTTAGAAAAAACAAGAGCTAATGCTTTGGTCTAGCATCCTTAAGTTTTAAAGCAACTCCCAAACATTGTCAATTTCACCTTACTTCAGCATCCAACTCCAGAAAATGGATATTTTTATTGATAATTTTATGGCTGATAAAGCCATTATCACCACTAATAAAATTATCAAGGATTCCTTGTTATCCTCTAATACCCCCATCTCCCGTAAAATACAATATGCATATACTATAGTATACATAAGCTAAATTTTAAAAATTTTATGATTGGGAAATATTTTTAAAAATTGTATAAAGACAATCATCATAAATATCAATTAATAGTTTATTGTCAAGTTGGTTTCCATATAACACCCAGTGCTCATCCCCACAAGTGCCCTCTTCCATGCCCATCACCCCCCTTCCACTTACCCCCACCCCCATCAGTCCTCAGTTTGTTCTCAACATTCAAGAGTCTCTCATGGTTTGCCTCCCTCCCTCTCCCCCACGGTCCTCCGTTAAGTTCCTCCTAATCCTCCTATACGTGCAAGCATATGGTATCTGTCCTTCTCTGCCTGACTTATTTCGCTCAGCATAACACCCTCAAGGTCCATCCATGTTGCTACACATGGCCAGATTTCATTGTTTCTCATTGCCATGTAGTATTTCATTGTATAGATAAACCACATCTTGATCCATTCGTCAGTTGATGGACACTTAGGCTCTACTTAAGTTTTATGAAAAAACCAAAGAGAAAATTTCTTAATAAATACCCAAACTATCATTTACTATATACAGATCCTTAATGTTTCCAGAGATTTGTCAATATTTTTAAAAATCAAATTTTGCGGGGCGCCTGGGTGGCTTAGTCGGTTAAGCATCCGACTTTCGCTTAGGTCATGATCTCGCGGCTCGTGGGTTCGAGCCCCGCATCGGGCTCTGTGCTGACTGCCAGCTCAGAGCCTGGAGCCTGTTTCAGAGTCTGTGACTCTCTCTCTCTGACCCTCCCCTGCTCACGCTGTCTCTCTCTCTCCTAGAAATAAATAAAAATATTTATTAAAAAAAAAATTATAAAAATCAAATTTTGAAAAAACTTTACCTTCATGTGATATTTCAGAGGATCCAAAAGATCAAACTTTACATTGCACCTCGGACAAGATCTTAGAAAAGCTGCTCCAGTTTTATAGTGAGGTGACGAGGTATTTGTACCTGAAAGAGATTAAGGACTTTTATGACTCAAATTATTTTGTAAACATTAAACAACCAGTAATAAAAGTTTAAAAATTCATTAGAATGCCTAAACTTTATGTATAATATAATTTCTATTTCATATGCTAGATTCATATTTACCTTTTGATATCATAACATGGGGAGATGCCACCGAAGGAGAGTTAGTTAAAGACAATGAAGCACAAGGACTTAGGTCAGAACCACTTTCACTGGTCTTTGGCTTTTTTGGATTAACACTGTTTACTTTAGAAGTAGAAGAACGTTTTAATATAGGCAGAGTTTCATCTATACCTACAATGATTTAAATAGTGGGAAAAATATGTGTAAATACTTTAATATAGAACATTGCTTACAAATGCTACTAAAATTGCTTTACATTTAAATTTAAGTAAAAATAACTGGAAGCTAAAGATGATATGATTGAATTATAGTATACAAATGACAGGAAAGAATGATCAAAATTTATATGCTCAATAGATAGAAATTGTACAAATAGCTATGATGAACTCCATGCATTTGAACAATTCATGTAATAAAGTTTTTATGCAAGAAAATTCTAAGAATACTTCCAAATAAAGAAATATGTATAGATAGGTTAACATAAAAGAAGTCAGACCAAAAAAATCCTAAGCAAAAAAATAGCTGAAGCACAGAGAATATTCTAAGCTCAGTTCTCATGAAAAAGATTTATCTTCAGATACTTACATACCTTTGGGTTTGTAAACAAAAACAACTTTTATTTTAAAAATTTAGAGAAAACCTCTAAGATACTTATAAAAAAGCTTAAGATGTCTAATGGAAAACCCAATTTGGTTCTTTTTCCACTTATTAAGAACCTGATAGGGAATAAACAAATAATTTAAACCCATTAACAAAATATAAACAACTAATCCTGAATGATAATACCTTGCACATTCATATGAAAAGGCTTAAATAGTATGACAGCGTTCAAACTATATACTCCTGAGGCTAATGGTTTTGTCTTGGGAATGTAGAATGCAAATCAAAAAAACTCTCCTTTTACCTTTTTAAAGAAATTAGACTTTTACATAAAATTTTGTTTGAGGAGATTTCATTACTAAAGACAGTTTTTAGTTTGAAAACTATCACCTTTAAAGGCTAAAGAATCATGTAATTCACGGCATTTGCAAGACAAGTGGCGCTATTTAGGCTATAACCAGATCCAGCAAAAGTCCTCTTGAAAGAACTCACAACTGTACTTTGTGATAAAGATTCTAAAACTGCACATCCTATTTTAATGCTCCCAACTGTACAGTAAAAGGAGAAGCAGTAGAATAAATAACAGGAAAATGAGAATATTGCATTAGTGGGCTCCTCTGTCAATTATGTGTTTCATTCTTTAAGATAACATAGAAATGATTTTTGCCATCTTCAAGCACATGCTTACTGACAACCATACTGTAGGCACCTGGGACCGATTTCTGTGTAATGATTAATATTCTTCTCAGATACTTAGGTTACTTGAACAACCAATCAGTGCTGGTAACTGATTATGTAGCAGGCTGTACAGTAAATATAGACTGTTTCATATATAATTTTTTAAAGCATGAGTAGTTTTAAATTCTAACTCTTTAACTTGTTTATTTCTGCTGTCTTTGGCTTATGCTGTTCACTATCTTCAACAATGCCAATAAAAATCCTATTCCCATTCTTCAAAATCAAGTTCAAATCCGGGGCGCCTGGGTGCCTTAGTCGGTTAAGCGTCCGACTTTCGCTTAGGTCATGATCTCGCGGTTTGTGGGTTCAAGCCCCGCGTCGGGCTCTGTGCTGACTGCCAGCTCAGAGCCTGGAGCCTGTTTCAGAGTCTGTGACTCCCTCTCTCTCCGACCCTCCCCCGCTCACGCTGTCTCTCTCTCTCCTAGAAATAAAACATTAAAAAAAATTTTTACAAAAAATCAAGTTCAAATCCAACCTTCTCCAAGACCCTTCTATGATCATTCTAGACAAGAGGCCATTAATCAGGCTTCTGAACACATAATACATATTATTATTCATAATTATCATTCTAACAACTGTTTACTGTCAAGTCCTTTAAAACTTTAATGTATTAACCATTTCTCAGTTATCTCATTTGAGCCTCAAAAAGGCCCTTAAATAAGTAGAGCAAGAATTAAATTTCTATCTCCAAATGGCTGACTTCAGGTCTGGAGAAAGAATGTATTATCTGAGAAAAATAAAAGTATATATTTCAATAAAATGAGAAAACTGAAGTATAAAGAGGTGACTTGATAAACACCACAAAAACCTTGGAATACAGGCTCAAATCTATACTTTCTTAATCAACTATAACCCCAATTACCATCAAGGCAAAGTTCCACTCCCTCTAGTACAACAAACTTTACAGGGGGAGTAGGCATCACTGTCTATACCCACTAGAAGCTTCAAGATTTCAGACATTTTCTATGAATAAAGACCATGTGCTTTATAAAATCAGACCTCAGACAACTATTTTACCTTCTCATTTATTTTGGTTCGTGGCTATTTTACTAACTAGATAAGTGACACCTAGATTGATGAATAAACCAAGTATTATCAAAATGGGAAAAATATTTTTGGCACACATATTACTATAAATGTTTTCCTATTTTGGTTTGGTAAATGGGCATGAATTTGTTAGTAAACAATTTAAATATTAAAAAAATCCTACATACCTCTGTCCATTTAGTAAAATATAACAAATTTACTAATATACAAACAGTAACTGCTATGATTATAGGAAATTTTTCAACTAAATAAAATTCATGGCATACTAATTTATTTCAAGTTAATGAAGAACTTTGTTGTGGTACAGAATCAAAGAACTGTAGTACTTCAAGTGAAAATTATCATTATTCCTACAATGGGTATTTACTAAGCACTTACTATGTGCAAATAACTATTTTTTAAATACTGCCTTTTTATAATAATCATATTTAACTATCACATTAATATGATTTACTTAGAAAGAAAGACAACTAGCCTATTTAAAAAGTCAACTATAACCATGTACTTTTTCTCATACTAATGGCCTTCCAAATGCTTAATACTTTTTTTTTTTTAATGATAGTATCAGGACATCATGGGACTTTCTTGACTCAGAATATATTAAGATTTTTCAGGCCATGGCTGGTTCCAAGTAAGAATGAGCTCAAAAAATACATGTTAGCTAACTTAATAGAAAGAAATACAATATTCTATTATTAAATACAAATGTATACTCACTCAAGAGAGGCAGTCAAGGATTATTAGCTTCTATCTTACGGTATATAAAAAACTTAACATGGGGGCGCCTGGGTGGCTCAGTCAGTTAAGCATCTAACTTGGCTCAGGTCAACTTCAGCTCAGGTCAGATCTCACGGTTCGTGGGTTCGAGGCCCTCATCAGGCTCTGTGCTGACAGCTCAGAGCCTGGAGCCTGTTTCGGATTCTGTGTCTCCCTCTCGCTCTCTGCCCCTCCCCCACTCATGCTCTGTTTCTGTCTCAAAAATAAAATAAACTATAAAAAAATTAAAAAATAAATAAAAAACTTAACGTGAAAGTATGGGTTTCAAAATAGAAATTCATTCCACATGTATATTCATTAAGTTTTTTTTATTACAGTCTTAAAATGTGCTAAGCCAAACCTTCTATATAAATTGTTGATCCCTCCTGGGACAGGGGAATTGTATCCTGGGTCAAGTCAAACAGCAAATCTGAAGAATCATCCGATTCAACTTGTGATAAATTCTTTGTAAAATCCTGTAAAAAGTTATAATTATTTGAAATTATTATATATTATTTCATAAACTTTTATAAAGGTAAATATAACCAATAATGTGTGTCTATTTATTTATAAAACACCTTAATGACTTAAATACTAACAAGCAATAAAATACAAAGATAATTATTACTATCTGTCAAAATTAGCACCTATTGGGTAAGGGGTATATGGGAATTCTCTGGATTACTTTTATAATTTTTCTGTAAATCTAAAACTATTTTGAAATAAAAAGTAGAAATTAAAAAATAATGACAATATTATTGGCAAAGTAGACCTATTTTGGTAAAACTTTTCTGCAAGAAAATTTTGGCAGTATCTATCAGGGGCTTTAAAAAGTTCAAATGGGGGAACCTGGGTGGCTTAGTCGGTTGAGCATCTAACTTTGATTCAGGTCATGATCTCACAGTTCGTGAGTCCAAACCCCACATCAGGCTCACTGCTGTCAGCCTGTCAGTGCAAAACCTGCTTTGGATCCTCTGTCCCCTTCTCAGTCTGCCCCTCCCCCTTTTGTAAGTGCGCGCAAAAAGTTCAAATCCTTTGATCCCAATATTCTACTTACATGGATTTATGCTAAAGAAATGAAAATACTCAATGGAGAATTATTTATAATAGCAAAAAGTAAAATCTGTATGCAACATCATGCTTTTGAAAAATATTCAATGACAAAGAAAAATGTTGCTAATATAAAGTTCAGTGAAAAAATTAACAGATGGGGGTGCCTGGGTGGCTCAGTCGGTTAAGTGTTGGACTTCAGCTCAGGTCATGATCTCACGGTTCGTGGGTTCAAGGCCCGCGTCGGGCTCTGTGCTGAGAGCTAGCTTAGAGCCTGGAGCCTGCTTCAGATTCTGTGTCTCCCTCTCTCTCTCTGACCCTCCCCTGCTCACTCGCTCTCTCTCTCTCTCTCTCTCTCAGAAATAAAAACATTTAAAAAAAGAAAAATAACAGATATCTGTGTATGAAATATAATCTTGACTGATATATTCTTTATACCATACTAACCATCTGCAAAAAAACAAACAGTACAGTATGTATTTTTTTTTGAAAGAGAGCAAGAGAGAGAAGAAAGAGCAAGTGCGAGCATTAGCACAGGAGAGCCGACGAGGAGCAGAGGGAGGGGGAGGAGGGAAAGAGAATCTCAAGCAGGCTCCATGCCAAGTGTGGAGCCAATGAGGGGCTCCATCTCATGACTGAAATATCATGACCTGAGCCAAAATCAAGAGTCAGATGCTTAAATGACTGAACCACCCAGGTGCCCTGTTTCTATCTAACTACCACCCTCATACATGTTACCTTTACAATAGGAATATAAGGATCTTGCTTGCATATTTAGTGCTTACAAGTTAAAAGACAACCAGGTTTTTAGAATTCTACTTTCTTATTACATTTTCTGTTTACATGGGTCTATTAAGAATTTATGGAGACAGATATTGAAGCGACTCAAACCATTCCATTCCTAGAATTCAAGGCATAACAGGCAGATTTTTGCATTTGAGCCTTAACGTGTATTATGCAAAATGGCTCTAGGACTCAGTAATGTCTTTATGACTTAACTGTACCAAGCATACTCTTACTAAAAGGTAAGTATTTTCTCCAAACATTTGCATGTACAAACGGAAAATATTCACTAGCAATTTCCTGAACAGTTCTTTAACAGAAGTTCCTCCCAAATAAAGTTATTACTTTAAACCTTTTCCTAGGTGATACTCTGACCAATTAAGTACCACCACTTCAGAGAGCAAACATATTATTCAACAAACAACTTACTAAAATAATTCTCCAACTGGGAATTTTTTACATCTCAAAAAATAGTTCAGAAAGATACCAAATACAATAGTGTGGTGTACAATAGGCAACAGACTGGGATTTAAAAGACCTCCATTTATTTAACTGTGGAACCTTGGGCCAGTAACTTTTGAGATTCAAGTTTTCACCTTTCCAAGTGAAGTAATAGCCACTAATTATTATCTATTTAAAATGTACTTGACTCTTTTACAGTATATGTATTATAGCAAGTAGTTGTCACAACAGTACTAATAAAAACGTAATATTATCTCCCACTTTATAAACAGATCAAGTTCAGTATACTTAGTTAAGTAAGGTTCCCAATGCAACCCAGCTTATTATTGATTCTGAAGTTGGATCAGAACCCAGGTCAGCCTGATTATAAGCCTGTGCCCTTAAGCTACATCACACTGATATTAAAAAGGACAATCACGGGGGCGCCTGGGTGGCTTAGTCGGTTAAGTGTCCGACTTTCGCTTAGGTCATGATCTCACGGTTCGTGGGTTCGAGCCCCGCGTCGGGCTCTGTGCTGACTGCCAGCTCAGACCCTGGAGCCAATTTCAGAGTCTGTAACTCCCTCTCTCTCTGTGACCCTCCCCTGCTCACACTCTCTCTCTCCTAGAAATAAATAAAAATATAAAAGAAGAAAAAAAAGGACAATCACAAGGGTGCCTGGGTGACTAAGTCAGTTAAGCATCCTACTCCTGATCGCAGTTCAGGTCTTGATTTCAGGATCAGGAGTTCAAGCCCCACGTTGGGCTCCACACTGGGTGCGAAGCCTACTAAAATATATATTTAAAAAAAGACAATAATCATTATCTTCTAGACTGCCTTAAAGAATTGTGGTAAGAAAAAAATGAAGCTTAAAATTTTCAGAGAAAATTCCCTAACATCGGATTCTCAATATATTTGAAAATATATGTCATTCTCTACCCTGGCTCACATTTAGAATCACCTGGAGAGTTAAAACAAAACAAAACAAAAAACCATGCCCAGGCCTCACCCCCAGATCAAATGACAAAAAAACTGGGGTTGTTTTTTTAAAAAAATAAAAAAGAGCAGGGGAAGGTCAGAGAAAGAGGGAGACACAGAATCTGAAGATAGGCTCCAGGCTCTGAGCTCTCAGCACAGAGCCCAACATGGGGCTCAAACCCATGAACTGTGAGATCATGACCTGAGCCGAAGTCGGACGCTCAACTGACTGAGCCCCTGAGGTGCCCCAGAGCTGATGCTCTTAACCTTCTGTGTTCATAGTAATGCACCAACAGTTTTACCCCCCTCCCCCTGCACTGCTTTTGCATCATTAGTACAAATGCCAAAAGTGAAAAGAAAAATGTCTCAGTGTAATTTAAGTTTTAACTTCACCAACCCCTGAAAAGGGTCTCGGGGAATGCCAATGATATGACTATAACATTACTCTAAGGCAATGTTTCTATGTATAGCAATGCTAAATGGATGGATGGATGTGTATATGTGCATATTTTAAAACCTCTGGGCTAGGGGTGCCTGGGTGGCTGAGTCAGTTAAGCATCCAGCTCAATGTCAGCTCAGGTCATGATCTCACTGTTTGTGGGATCGAGCACCGTGTTAGGCTCTGCTCTGACAGTGCAGAGCCTGCTTGGTATTCTCTCTCCCCCTCTCTCTCTGCCTCTTCCCTGCTTGTGCTCATCTGTCTCTCTCTCCCTCTCTCTCAAAATAAACAAACATGAAAAACAAAGCTTTAAAAAAAAAAAAACCTAAAAAATAAAAAACAAAACCAAAACACCTCTGGGTTAACCTGGATTGAAATCCCAGATCCATCAACTATATACCAGCTATATGGCCTTGAGTGAATTACTTCCTCTACTATAGTTTCCTCAACTATAAAATGGGGACGATAATCATGTCTACTTTATAGAGAAATCATAAGAATTAAAGGAGACTAATTTACATACAGCATTTAGAATAAGGACCCATAATAACAGAATAACAAATATTAAATATTACCATTATCTATTACTTCTGTTAAAAGTTTTAGGGGCACCTGGGTGGCTCAGTTGGTTAAGCATCCGACTCTTGATATCAGCTTGTGGCCTTGAGATTGAGGTCCATGTCAGACTCTGCGCTGAGTGTGGAGCCTGTTTGGGATTCTCTCTCTCTCCCTCTCCCTATGTCCCTTCCCTGCTTGCACGTGTGCTCTCTCTCAAAATAAATAAATATACTTTAAAAAAAATAAAAGCTAAGTCATGAAAGTATATCTTCAGAATAAACAGGAACAATGACCTCAGATCAATCTTCCCAAATAAGAATACTTGGTTCAATTTACTATCTTAAGAATTTTGCCATTATGCATACAGAAATGCTGATGGATAGGAGCACATGTACCCCAATGTTCACAGCAGCACTCTCAACAATAGCTAAAACATGGAAAGAGCCTAAGTGTCCATGAATGGACGCATGGATCAAGAAGATGTGGTTTATCTATACCATGGAATACTACATGGCAATGAGAAACAATGAAATCTGGCCATGTGTAGCAACATGGATGGACCTTGAGGGTGTTATGCTGAGCGAAATAAGTCAGGCAGAGAAGGACAAATATCATATGTTTGTACGTATAGGAGGATTAGGAGGAATTTAACTGAGAACCATGGGGGAGAAGAAGGGGGGAAATGGTGGGGGAAAGGGAGAGAGGCAAACCATGACAGACTCTTGAATGCTGAGAACAAACTGAGGACTGATGGATGTGAGGGGAAGGGGGGAGATGGGCATGGAGGAGGGCACTTGTGGGGATGAGCACTGGGTGTTATGTGGAAACTAATTTGACAATAAACTATTTGTAAAAAATAAAAAAAAATTTTTGCCATTATGCAACAATCATCACTGATTTTTTTACTCACCTTTAGATAGCATAGTTTTCAATATTCTACCTATTTAAGCACATTACCTGATATTGGCGAGTTGGCTAGTTCCCACAGTTATTACTGCAGGTACTGATTCAGCTATAATAAAGATAGTGACATTCTCTGACTGTGATTATGCTTCTAGTGGAATGGTGATTAGCTATGAATAACCCACAATTCTAACTGGATATTATAGTACCCAATGTGTCCTTGAGCTAATTGTATAGTTTCAGAAACACTTACAGGTTTAGACACATTCTGAACAATAACAGAGTTATGTGAAGATTTAGATTCAGGATGAAATCTAGGCAAGGCAGCCACTGGAGATGATGCTGGATCTTTGTAGTGTTGACTTGTAGGCTTGAGTGCATCAGTGACACCTGCATTTTAAAATTACACAATATATTGAATATTTTCCCATATAACCAATTTTGTCAAAATATTTCATTTAAAAATTAAAATAGTACAATAATACTATACCTTGAGTAAGTGTCTCATTCTTTATTCCCTTTGAAGATGAGCTGGGGTTACCTCTGTTCAAAATATCTACAAGTAGAATTAAATATATATTAAGATAATAGAAAAATCTTTCCCAATATATCCATATACAACTAATAATTTAAGTATATACACCTAAAAGCCTGGAAGTTTCATTATGGGCAAACTGACTAGATTATCTGTACTGCTGCTCTTGAGTTCTGAAGGGGACACTACTGAAGACCGCAGACTAAACTTAACCTAGAGTTTGTACCAGGGTATCTCAAATCTACTACTATATCAAAAGTCAATCTGAGCCTGACATGACCCTCTGAATCAGTTTAAGATTGTTCACTCCTGTACTGATGCAAACCCATAACTTCTAGGTTATTCAGGAATGAAATACATATTTGGAAGAGCAGACATTTGCCTAAAATTGCTAATCAGGAAAAGGTATAAAGCATTTTCAAATCACATAAAACCTCAAAAAATTTTCTTTTTCCCCTCCTACTAGAAAAGAGCTAGATTTTATAGAATAATTCTATAAAGTAAAGGGTCACACAAAAGTAGGGCTGTTTTAGGAAAATGGAAATTCAGTTCCCTAAGACTAGGTACCACAAACGCCTTCTGGGAGAAAAATCTGCTCAAACAACTTGATACTGTTTTCCTTCAGAAATTAAGGTAGGTATTTACTCAAGCCATTAAAGAGTCATTCCTACAGTAGTTTTTGGTGACTGTAGTCTATCAAACACAACTTTTTACCACCAACCTCAACTTTATGATGGTTCTATATCAATATTTAGCCCATGGTCCATATGCCAAAAATATTTTCTGGCTCAAGAATAAAACATCAATAAAATCACTTAAATTCTAAGTTCATTTAGAAAAGAAATTTCACTGAGGTCAACTGCCTTTTTGATAGAATTACTCAAAACTAATACACATTATTCTAGTTGGATATTGTCAACAGTTACCTACAGTTGATATAAATCTGACTTGAACTACCATGATTTCAATAAGATGATCTGAATAATAATTTTGAAATACTGTAATAGTTCAGGATAAAAATAGTCACAGCAACCGGAAAACAATAATTATAATATTCTGTTCCACTGTCAGCAACCAACATGCTAACATACTTATTTAAGTTTATGATAGAAGTGGCATTCCACTTAGCACTTCTCAATTTGCCACAGGAAATTGAGAATTGAATTAAATTAAATTATCCTATCTCTGACGAAACTGAATAGTTCTATACCAAGTTTAGAGTCAAGAAAAGGAAGAACTGGGCTTTCAAAAAAATTAAAAGCTCATCTCTTAACCACAAAACTATGTACTGCCATTGTAAGTAAGAAAATACTGGTATGCTAGCTACATTCTTTGCGAAATTCTCCTGGCTTAAAAAAAGTAAATATAAAGGAAAAGAATCTATTTCCTCTTTCTCCCTTGAAATTCAGTATGTTGCTCCTCTCACTTTACGCATTTTTGGTTGGACATTTTAACAAATGTCATCAACAACCTCACTATAACATTATTATAGCATCAAGTCTACTCTAACTGAAATCTAATAATCCAAAAAATTCCTGGACATGTTCCGCTAGAAAGCCATGAGGATTAAGTATGCAAACTGCCTGCATTGTTCAAGTACAGTGGCTGAAGACCAGCTCCTACTTCCTTCATGAGTATAATCAGGAGTTGCTGGAAGATGGATGTGGCCAAAAACTATAGCCCATGTTGCTACAGAAATGAGGGACTGGATAATCATGCAGTGCCTGTTCATTTTGTAGCTGTGAATCAAGATGACACTGAGATAAGGCAGTTGCTTGTATGTGAGAAACAACATCAGAGACTAACACAAACTTATTTAGTATTCTGATATTTTATTTAGTTATTAAATGTTTTATTTATTTATTGAGAGAGAAACAGACAGACAGACAGCAAGAGCAGGGGAGGGGCAGACAGAGACACAGAATCTGAAGCAGGTTCCAGGCTGTGAGCTGTCAGCACAAAGCCCATAGCAGGGCTCGAACTCACGAGCTGTGAGATCATGACCTGAGCCGAAGTCAGATGCTTAACTGACCGAGCCACCCAGGCGCCCCTATTTTTTAATGTTTTACTTATTGTTGAGAGAGAAAGCGCATGAGCAGAGAAGGGGCAGAGAGGGGGATAGAGGCCCAAGAGGGCTCTGTGCTGACAGCAGAGTTCAATGTGAGGCTCAAACTCATGAACCATGAGATCATGACCTGAGCTGAAGTTGGATCCTTAACCGACTGAGCCACCCACGCACCCCAGTATTCTTAAATTTCAACAAAACATTCCAAACACTTTCTTTTCCAGGTGTATTTGGGCTTAAGGGAAAAAACAAACAGGTGAATAAACTACTTAGCTCCACTAAAACCTACAATTTCCAATTTCAGAAGACCTAAAATGCTGTTAGGTAATCTTAACCTTTAGTTAACTTTGTTAACATTTCCTTTTTCTCAAATGATATTTTAACCTCTTACCTCTTTACTCAAGTCCCCACACACATCCTCCCTCTGATTCTTACTGACCTGTGTGCTCCGACTCCTTACAGAATAACAAGGACAGATAAGATAACCCACAGGTTTTTCTACTAGAAATAGCATCCTCTATAAAACTTTCCTTCACTGAAATAAATGCTTACTTGAAATGGCTGGTTTTGAACTTGATATCTCTCCAACAAAGATCAGCTCATCATCATCTTCATCCAGAATTTCTTCTACTTTCTTCTGCCATGGTTCCAGCTCTTCTTCTTCACATTCCATAAAGAGTTCTGCCATTTTTGAATTATCTAAATGTCAAAAGGAGAGAAACATATCTTATTTATTAAGTAACTTTTTGCAATGCATAGTATGATATTTAATATATACTTTAGTAATCCTAATATTAATTACTGAATTGGTATTTACAGTCAACATATGGTAGCAAAAGTTAGAAACTCAGCTCAATCTCTAAGACCTAAAGTAGTAAAATTAAGCTAGCTGGTTAACTAACAGATAACATGAGTCCTTAGTAGTGGTCAATAAATTTTAAGAATAATCAAATATAAGGGGAGCCTGGATGGCTCAGTGGGTTAAGTGCTGGGCTTTGGCTCAGGTTTGTGAGTTCAAGCCCCGTATCAGGCACTGTGCTGACAGCAGAGCATGCTTTGGATCCTCTGTCTCCCTCTCTCTCTAAAAAATAAATAAATATTTAAAAAAGAATAATCAAGAAAAACTTGAAACATAAAAAAAAAAAATCAAATCCAGGGAAGAATATCCAATGAAAGAGATGGTCTCTTCAATAAGTGGTGTTGAGAAAACCGGACAGCAATACGCAAAGGAATGAAACTGGCCCACTTTTTTACAGCACACACAAAAATAAATTCAAAATGGATTAAAGGCCTAAATGTAAGACAGGAAGCCATCAAAATCCTAGAGGAGAACACAGGCAGTAACTTCTTTGACGTTAGCTGTAGCAACTTCTTACTAGATTATGTGTCTTGAGGCAAGGAACACAAAAGCAAAAATAAACTATTGGGACTTCATCAAAATAAAAGCTTCTGCAGTGTGAAGGAAACAAAACTAAAAGGCAGCCTATGGAATGAGAGAAGAAGTTTGCAAATGACATACCTAATAAAGGGTTAGTACCCAAAATCTATAAAGAACTTATCAAAACTCAACACCCAAAGAACAAATAATACAACTAAAATATGGGCAGAAGACATGAATAGACATTTTTCCAAAGAGTATCTATAGATGGCTAACAGACACATGAAAAAGTGCTCAACATCACTCATCATCAGGGAAATACAAATGAAAACTACAATGAGATATCATACTTGTCAGAATGGCTAAAATCAACAACACAAGAAACAACAGGTGTTGATGAAGATATGGAGAAAGGGGAACCCTCATGCACTGCTGGTGGGAATGCAAACTGGTGCAGCCCCTCTGGAAAACAGTGTGGAGGTTCCTCAGAAAGTTAAAAATAGAACTACCCAATAAGCCAGCAATTGTATTCCTAGGTATTTATCCACAGAATACAAAAATACTAATTCAAAGGGATACATACACCCCTATATTTATAACAGCACTATCTACAATAACCAAATTATGTGAAACAGCCCACATGTCCATCGAGTGATGAACAGATAAAGAAGAGGTGGTATATATAGCTACAAAGGAATATTGCTCAGCTATAAAAAGAATGAAATCTTGCCATTTGCAATGGCATGGATGGAGCTAGAAAGTATTATGCTAAACAAAATAAGTCAGAGAAAGACAAATGGCATAGGATTTCACTTAGATGTGGAATTTCAGAAACAAAAACAAACATAGGGGAAAAATGAGAGAGAGGCAAACCAAGAAACAGATTCTCTACTATAGAAAACTGATAGTTACCATAGGGGAAGCAGGTGGGGATATAGGTGAAATAGGTGATGAGAATTAAGGAGAGCACTTGTAATGAGCACTAGGTGTTGTTTGCAAGTGTTGAATCACTAAGTTGTACACCTGAAACTAATATTGCACTGTATGTTAACTAATTTCAATTTAAATAAAAACTTAAATAATCAAATTCAGTAAAAATGAGTTTCAGTTTTATTAACAAAATATTATACCTATTAACTAACTATACCTGAAAAAACCCATAAACTTTTATATTAACAAAAAGGAGATAAACTAACAATAAGAAGCAATAGGTTGGATTTTCATAAGAAAACCTGAACCAGGTTCAGAAACACTAGGCACACAGCAAAGCAGGGATGAGGTACTACAATCAAAATAGGGGACATAAGTGAGGCTTATTCCATCCCAGGAAAGATTAGACATTTCTCACCTGGAGAAACTAAGCAAAGAACATACTGTGATTACCACCAGCCTACAAGTGTTGACCAAGCACTCAGAGTTCCAAGGAAACATTTTAGGGCCTCATTCACCAAGAGCACCAGAAATAGGACTAAACCTCCAACTTGAAAGACCTAAACAATAAAACAATTTAAAAGATCTTTTTTTTTAATGTTTGTTTTTGAGAGAGCGAGAGAGCAGGACAGAGGGTCTAAAGCAAGCTTCACTGCAGAGAGCACAATGTGGGGCTTGAACTCATGAATCGTGAGATCATGACATTAGCTGAAGTCAGACGCTTAACCTACTGAGCCACCCAGGTGCCCCCCAGATTAAAAGATCTTTAAAAACAACAGGGATAGTACAGAATGCAAAAGAAAGTTATTAGAGGGAATGTAATTAGCATTTTTAGAGAAACAAGACACGAATGTTCTAAAAAGTAACATTCAGAAAAACAAAAAGATTTAAAAAACAGTGAAAATTCGGTAGAAGCCCCCAAACCCAAATACCAAAGTTGAATAAATGTCCCATAAGTGGACCCAAAAGACAAAAAATATATACACACTAATAAATTTCACCTAATAAAAGTTTCCAAAAAATTAATAGAGAAAAAGGAGAGGAGATGTAATCAAAGGAAAAATACAAAAGAAACTTCTAGTTCTAAAGGACATAAATGTCCAGATTGAAAGGAAAAAATCTACATTATAGGAATATATGAAGAGATTTGAATATTTATACACAGAAACTATCCTAAAATCAGAAAGTTAGAATGCTTTCAAGAGTATTAGTAAAAATAATTTTCAATTTAGAATTCTGTCCCCTGACAAGATTTTCATCAAGCATGAGGTACATATTCTATCATCAAAATAAAAGATCACTAAGATCACAGAAAATTACCCCCCATTCACCCTTCCTTTCTTAGAAAGAATCCACTAAAATATGGGACGTAGGAAGGAGGAAGATACAGAATGCAGAAATCATAGCATTCAGCACAACATCAAGACAAAGGAAAGTCCCATGATGATAGCTGTTCAATAGGTCTAGATAACAACCAGCCAGAATAGACCAAGAGAACATTACTCCCAGGAGTAATGTCTCCAGGAGACCACACGTGCGCGCGCGCGCTCACACACACACACACACACACACACACACACACTTAAAAAGTAAAGTGTTAGATTACCGGATGAGTTTTAGCATATAGAAAACTGAATTACGAGGCTACAGAAGGGTGTGAGAAGACTTTGCTGTAGACTTTAACAAAATTTAGCAAATTTAGTCAACTATAATACACAAAATAACATTTAGCAAATTTTTAAAAATGAAATATTTAAATTTCTGAGTATAAAAAAGGGGAATGTATGCATGGCATATTAATACCATAGTACTATGTTCATCAGTGAACAATATTATGGTCATCATAATAAAAATATTTAATGATTTAACTAAAAACTGAGAGTTATAGAACTGTAGTGAAAGATGCTTGGAGATAGGGCTAAGTGTAAGAAAACTAAAATCCTTATGTTAGATAAAAAAAATTATCAGATAATGGCAAAAAATTGACGATTGAAGAGATAACAGTATGCATGTGCTAAAAATGTACAAATATGGAAACAATTATGAGGAAAAAAAGCTAACCTATTGAAATTGAATGCCTGAAAAAATAGGGACTACATAAGCTCAGACACACACACCTGTCCCTCTTACCCTTCAAAAACTGTGGTTATGCAATTTATAACTTTCAGATTGTTTTTTAAACCTATGCATGTATTGTTATGGTTTTTAAAAAGTACTGTGGGAGCACCTAATTTAATATAATAGCAAGGGGGATGGATACAAGTGGTACTAGATAAGTGGAGTGAGATATGGATGGGGGGACAACTAAAAAGTAACAAAACAAAATAATAACTCCAGGATCTGGCTTAGATGATGATTATCCATTTTTTAAGACAATATCTTAATCTTTTATTTATTTACTTCTAATGTCTTTATTTTAGCTTGAGAGACAAAGACAGAGAGTGAGTGGGAGAGGGGCAGAGAGAGAGGGAGACACAGAATCTGAAGCAGGCTCCAGGCTCTAAGCTGTCAGCACAGAGCTCGACACGGGGCTCAAACCCATGGACTGTGAGATCATGACCTGAGCTAAAACCAAGAGTTAGACACTTAACCACCTTAGCCACCCAAGAACCCCACTTAATGTGTATTTCTTAACTGTACGCATGTAACTCCAAAATAAAATACAAAGAGGGGCTTCTGGGTGGCTTAATCGGTTAAGCGTCCGACTTTCGCTTAGGTCATGATCTCGCGGTTCGTGGTTTCGAGCCCTGTGTCGGGCTCTGTCCTGACTGCCAGCTCAGAGCCTGGAGCCTATTTCAGAGTCTGTGTCTCCCTCTCTCTCTGACCCTCCCCTGCTCACGCTGTCTCTCTCTCTCTCTCCTAGAAATAAATAAAAATATTAAGAAAAACAAAACAAAATAAGATCCAAAGTGAGAGTGAAAAACATATTTTCTTCTTCTTTTGTATCTCCTCCTATACATAGTAGTCTCCTGAATAAGCATCGGCACTTAACATGATAATCAATGAGCTAAGAAACTAGGCACAGGTAATTCCAAGTTTAAAAAAATGAGGGACACTCATGTATGCAGATAATTAAAAAATCATTTTTATCTATGTTGATACCATAGTCTTGATACCATGTCTAACACATATATCTTCCTCATTCTTTTTAACAGGGTACTACCACTGTCAATACATTCAAGATATACTGTGGAGTAAAAAAGTAAAAAAAAATTATTATTATTTTAATTTTAGAGAAAGAGAGAGACAGACAGTGAGTGAGTGCAAGTGGAGGAGAGGGGCAGAGGGAGAGAGAATCTTAAGTAGGATCAATGCTCAGCATGGACCCTGACATGGGGCTTGATCCCACAACCTTGGGATCATGACCTGAGCTGAAATCAAGAGTCAGACACTCAACCAACAGAGCCACCCAGGTGCCACAAGTAAAAAATTTTCAAAGCCACAAAAGAGCATAAATAGTATGATCTTATTTAGAAATAATTTATTTTTTGTCTATACATAGAAAAAATTGTGATTATGTATATCAAACAAATATTAGTAATTATTTCCGGTCTCTTCTTTCCTGACATTCCTATTGTATATTGTTCTTTTTCACTATGTGCAAGTATTACTTAATCAATTTAAGTGTTTTGGTATTTTTAAAAAATGTGCCTACCTCTGCTTTTCTCACCTTTTCCTATGAAGCAAAGTTATCAGTACAAAAGCCATGCACGCTAGTATCACTTGCAGCAACAATACTTACTTTTTGATGGAAAAGGGTTGTCGTCATCCATCAAGTTGCAGAGTCACCTAAGACACCAACACATGACATCAATCAATTTTATGAATTACTTTAACACCAAATATTGAAGCATGAGACTTGGGATTCAGAAATCTTTGGGTCTAATTTTGATCTCCAGCAAACTTACCATATGACTCCAGACAAGATAGCAAGTTAGGTCTTAGTTTTATGCCCTATAAAAATAAAGATAACTACTATTAGTGTGGATCTGCTAAATGTACATTTAATCTTGTTCTCCTACAAAACTTACCTTTTGAGTTTGTTATGTTTGATATACACATGCTACTCACTTTCCATAATTGGTTCATTCCTGAATGAATATTAATTTAATAAATAAAATGCTGAAAGTTTTAAGCACTTATTGCTTTAAAAAAAACCTGATGATTGTTAAGTTGCAAATAAATTTTGAAGTATTAGGATGAACAGAGTTGAGTCTTCACATGTGTCCTGATTTTCAGACTGGCAAAAGCAAGCTTTCCTGCTTTTTCCAATTCAATATTATTTACACTGAATTAGACCAAAGGAAAACACCTACTTTCACTCCAAAAGTTGTTACTGGTATAAATGTTTGAATTACTATCACAAAGATCAAGTGAATTCTGAACTTAAGTTTACCTAGTTGAAGTTTGACTACTGAAATCTCTTTAACTCAATTACTTGAATAGTTACAATTTCTCCCTAGACTAAAATTAAGGTAATGCATATGTCAAGTAGATAAATACATGTCAATTCTTGCTCAGCATTAAAAACCTACTGCTACCAGAAATACAGTTTTTTTTGAGTCACAACTACATAGCCTATGAAGACTCATTTATAACACTTTTATTAAATGCTCACATAAACCGTCTATTCGCACAAATAGCCTAAAATTAGTACTAAATGTACAAGTAGTTTATATAAACAAGTCATATCTACTCCCTATAACTACAGAGATGAATTTTGAGGCCCATAACAACCTCCATGGAGCTTCAATTGGTACATTCCTAAATACTCAAAAAAGTAAAAAATCCTCAGATTCCATTAGAACCATAGCTTCATCTATGAATAAAGAAGTTGTGTTATTCAGTAAGATAATCATGCCCTCCAAAACTATCACCACAAAAAAATTCTCATCACTTCAGAGTTTTGGTGGAAAGGCAAGGAATTCTATGGGAGGTTAAATAATCTGTCAGAGAAATGAAAAACCCAGCCAAAACATGTAATGAGGATCTTAGAGCTCCCATAATAGCAACTCCAGAGGGTCTCTAGGTTCTGCAACTCAGAACTGGCACCAAAACAGGCAGAACAGAAAAGAACTCTCCACTTCAGCTACTGACTCAGAGTTACTATGCCCAGAATACACTGGTCCTATGGGGCAAAAATGAATTCCAAGTAACTAAAGAAAGATCTCCTGGAATATGATCCAGTTTTTGGAGACTGCCTGTATAAATAATTACTATTTAGATATTTTACGGTTTCAACTTCTATACATTTAAGACTTAGCTTTTAAGAATTCAATTCTATGATATTTTCAAAATACATTAATAAATTAATAGGTAAAATGGTAAATTGTATGCTATGTGCATTTCACGCCTACTAGGATGGCTGTAATAAAAAAGACAGATAATAACAAGTGCTGGCAAGGATATGGAGAAATTGGAACCTTCATACACTGCTGGTAGGAATATGAAATGGTGCAGACACTATGGAAAATACTTGGCAGTCACTCACAAAGTTAAAAATAGTTAACCATATGACACAGCAATTCCACTCCAAGTGAGAGAGAATTGAAAGCATATGCCCACACAAAAACTTGTACATGGGAATGTGTGTGGCAGCATTATTTATAAGAGCCAAAATTGGAAACACTCATAGGCCCAACCAATAAATAAACAAAATGATATACCTATGCAATAGGATAATATTCAGTCATAAAAGAAATTAAATACTGATACATACTATAATATGGATGAACCTTGGGAACATATTAAGTGAAAGAAGACAGCAATATGACCATGTGTTAATGACTTCATTATATGAAATATCCAGAAATGGCAAATTCATAAGGAGAGAAAGTACAGAAGTGGTTGCTTAGGGCTGGAAGGTTTGGAGGGAAATGGGGAGTACTCCTATTGGATATGGGTTTTCTTTTGGGGTGATGAAAATATTCTAAATTAACTGTGGTGATGGTTACATGACACTGTAAGTATACTAAAACCATTGAATTATATACTTCAAATGGGTGAAGTATATGTTATATGAATTTTATTTCAATAAAGCTGTTAAGAAAATAAGAAGCTGGAAGGATATAAGCCTGGGAGTGATGGAGTCACTATGTGGAGAAAGAATGTCTAAGAAAGAAACCAAGGAAGAAAATAGCAAAGCTTTAAGATTCTGGGAGTAGAGGGGCACCTGGGTGGCTCAGTCAGTTAAGTGTCTGACTTTGGCTCAGGTCATGATCTCACAGTTCGTGGGTTCGAGCCCCACATCGGGCTCTGTGCTGACAACCAGCTCAGAGGCTGGAGCCAGTTTCAGATTCCGTATCTCCCCCTCTCTCTGACCCTCCCCTGCTCACATTGTCTCTCTCTCTCTCTCTCAGAAAAAAAAACATTAAAAAAAAAAGATTCTGGGAGCAGAGAAAGAGGATAGGGTAGGGAAATATTCAAGTTCTGATGACACCATTTAAACACCTGAAGCTAGCCATGCTTGAAGTAAATTAACTATTAAGCCTTTTCAGTTAAAAAAGGGAATACTTGTTCACTTACGGTTTAATATACTTTGAGGTAGGTTTCTGGTACCTGTAATAAAGAGTTATAATACACTTACCAATGGCTTATTACCACAATATTTTTCAAACTAATAGACCTCTGGGGACAATAGATACATTGCAAATGGTGCATGAAAGCTCTAAGACAATATATTGTTCTGGGGTTCAGTCGGTTAGGTATCCAACTTTGACTCAAGTCATGATCTCATGGTTCGTGAGTTCGAGCCCTGTGTTGGGCTCTGTGCTGACAGCTCGGAGCCAGGAACCTGCTTCAGATTCTGTCTCTCCCTTTCTCTCTGCCTCTCCCTCCCCCACTCGTGCTTCTCTCTCTCTCTCTCTCAAAAATAAGTAAACATTTAAAAAAATAAAATAAAAAATATATTGTTCTGCTATCTAAAAACTTTCAAATATACAATACAGTCTTATTAACTGTAGTCGCCATGCTATACATTACATCCCAAGACTTTTGGCCATCTTCACCCAATTTGCCCATCCCACACTCCCAACCAACTTGTTCTCTGTAAGTTCCTTTGTTTTAAGATCCCATATATAAGTGAGATCATACAGTATTTGTCTTTCTCTGATTTATTTCACTTAGCATGAAGCCCTCAAGTCCATCCATATCACAAACAGTAGGATTTCCTTCCTTTTTAATAGTCCATTTTATATTTATACACCACATTTTCTTTATCCACTCATTCAATGAAAGACACTTTGGTTGTTTCTATGTCTTGGCTATTGTAAATAAAGCTGCAGTGAACATGGGGATGCAAATATCATTTTGAGTTACTGTTTTCATTTCCTTCAGATAAACACCCAGAAGTGGAATTGTTGGAGCATACCAGTACTCATGTTTTTGTCTTTCTTTACTACAGCATGTTCATCAAGCACTACTACTTTTAATGCTGCTGGCTAATAACAAATTCAAGAACATAGGAAGAAAATATCTAAATGAATTTGCACCAAATGAATGGCGAATGACAGTATAGTTAGCTATAGAAATGATGGTATTGAAAAGATTCAAATAGAAAAATCTTGCTGTTGCTTAAGATAGGTATGAAAAATTCAATAAGTAGACAATGACTTTGTTTCATCAAAATTTATTATCCATTCAATGCATTAAAGTTGACTCAGATAGCATTGATTTTGTAGTTTTGTAGGATTATTTTGTTTTATGATCCTGTAAGAGCTCTAGAAACATTTTAAACATTTTTAGTAGGAAGATATCTGTGAAAATGTTTTCTTATAATAGAAATTAATTGGTACGGTACTCACATGCAAGAAACACTGGATTATGCCTTGTTTCCTTACACAATTTCATCGGCACCTAAACAATTCAAACTCTCAAACCAGGTTTGGGGAACAAATCATGTACAATTTAGAAGGAAAACATAGGCTCATCTTTTTTTTATTTAAGAAATTTTTATATTATGGGAATAATTTTTTTTGAAAGTCTGAACCCATTTAGTCCAGGCACATTTTGAGAATATATTTCTTTAATAACTTTACTATTTTCCCCCTAATTTTATTTAGGTTTTCAAGTTTTGTATCTGTTGATTTTCATATTTCAGATATTTGTAGGAAACTGCTGGTTGACACTAAGATTAAAGTTCATTAACATAATACTTTGCAAAGATTGCTTATATTTTAAAAGTTTCTTTTAACATAAAACTAACATAGTTTTTGGGATGGGACACAATAATGAAATTTACTTTCTGCAAAGTAATTTGTATATCATACCTAGAGAAAATATTTTACCTAAAAGAATGTGTTTTTATTATAATGCAGATGTAAAAGGCACAACCTGGAAAAAGACTCAAATAATTGGCTTTCAAAGCCAAATTATATATTTTATGTAAGCTTCATAAGATATTCTATAATCACTAATTACTAAAGTAACCTCAGGAAGTATGCATATTAATTAATGTACATTTTATAGGAGTAAAACTTATCCACTAGGGAAAATATAAAGAAAAAAAGTAGAGTACAATGATGAAACAACTCGACATAGGGGTTGAATAACTGGAAATTTTGAATCCACCACTTTCTGATTGCCAAACCTATAGGATTTTTAACCAACCTCTCTGAGCTTAGTTATTCTACCTATGAAATAAAAACAGTAATACCTTTCTTGCAGCACTATAGGGAAGATTAAATAAAGCATGTGAAAAATTATTGTACGGTACTACTACAAGTTGATCTCTGTACTGAAAGTCATACTTCAAGTTAATGAATATAAGCACTAAAAAGAAAACATATAAAAACAAATTGATCCATTTTATCCAGATGATACACAGTGATGACTATTTTTCTGGACATATTGAGGGTTAATAAACCACTCCCTAAACGAAAACTGCTTTGCAGAGAATGAATCAAAAACACATTTTTGATACAAATGACTGAGTAAACTACGTCTCCCTGAGTCATTATTTAAAACCTTACTGAAAGCCAAACATTTTTAAGTCCCTCTCTGAAGCAGGAGGACAGAAAAAAATATTCAGAGCTATATTAATTAATGAATACATCATAAATATTTCTGTTCTTTGAAAAGTTATTTGTGGAATAACAAAATGTTTTCAATATAAGTTCCCTATATCCAGTCACTAAAACTATGGATTATTATTTATAACAATTGTTTTTCATTTGAGTAATTTTCCTGTCCAATTAGTATGACAAAAATTTTTTGGTATGGTTCTAAACGCCCTCTTGAATAAAGAAAACAAATTGGAGAGAAGCAGGGGTCCAGAATTATATACTCTTTCTGCTTACTCTACTTTTCTATTTAAAAAGCTGGTGCTGGGTAGTAAAACACTGGGCTAAAGAAATCAGATTGGACTGGAAAATTTAAGTGAGGAAAACGGGTTGAACATGGAAGTTGAAATTTGGAGCCCTTCAACATCAGAACTTTTTCTGCTGGAAAAATGGGCTATTGAAAAATGGGCTGTTCTTCAACTTTTCAACATGACTGGAAATAATGATATTATTTAATACTACAAAATTGAAACGATATGAAGTCTTAAAATGAAAATGCAAAGGAAAGGGGAATTGAAAAATATCTCCTATATTTTTTCAAGTGAGTGTCCTTGCTTATTCTCCTTGACCACCTCATTCCCATGAAAAGTGGTGCATGTTATAGTGAATTGAGCACTGGAGGAGTCAGAAGACCTAGGTTCTATCACTTCCTATCCAAAGTGACCTCAGGGAAAGTCTCTCCTTGAGGCTATTTTCTCACTTTCTAAACAGTTCTACCACCACTCCACAGCTCACCTTAAAAGGACTGTCAATGAAATACACAAATGCAAGATGCAAGGATGGAACTTGTACCGAAGTTAAAGCACCAAAGGCACACAGCCCTAACTTAATTTTATAAGCAAACCAGTTCCCTCAACAGCTCAGTAAAGTTTCTCCTTAAGGAGACAGCTTGAGTTTTTACGCTAACCTCCAAAACAGGACATCTCACAAATGCTAAGAGAAGACTTTTGCAGTTTGAAACTATATTTCTTGGTTTAAAATTTGTGTTTAATGGCACTAAAAGATACTTAAATTCACAGTTCAAATCTGAAAACAATAAAAGCAAATTTTAAGTTCACAGATTTTTTTTAAACTCAAAAATCTTTGCAAACAAAGAGAATCCCTTGGATGAAGACCCCCCGTGCTTGCAGAAGCTGGTTCACTTGACATTTTCTTCTCTGATTTATCCTTTTAAAAAGCATTAAAACTTAAGAGAAGTTAAGAGGTACTCCGGAGAAGGCTAAGTCCCCAAATTGAAACATTTGTTTCCATGTCTGCAAAGGTACAAGCTGTACTGGTAAAAACTAGGTATGTAACTCCACGTTTTTCCGTAGGGCTCTTCTAAACAATAACTGAACGGCGCACGATTTCTATGACGAGGACCTTTGCAAGAACAAGGGTATCAGCACTGAATGAACAGTAACCTGGATGAGGGGAACAAGGACTGAAAGGAGGGGCCCGAGGGGCCCTGAAGCCAGAAAGTTCGGTACCTTCTGTGGTCTCTTATGACGGAAGAGACTTGAGGGTGGGTGGGTCTCCCCAAACATTAGTATCAAATATACAAAAGACCAAAGGGAGTTGCCGCCAGAAAAAAAAAAAAGGCGAAAACCAGGCTGAGCGCTGACAGACGCACAGGCCCTGGGCTGTGAGGAGGCAGTGGCGGCGGCCCGGCCGGCCGGCCATGGCGTGAGCGGGCCTCTGAACCGGGCCGCCGAGCAGCCAGCTACCGTTCCGTGATCCCTCCCGCGCCGGGGCTGGCGGCAAGATGGTGGCCCACCCGCCACCGCGCCGCCAAATTCGTCCCCTCCCCCGCTCCCTGGGCGATCCCAGCAACACACGCCGGCAACCGGACCCTCAACCTGTTCTCGTCGGAGCCGGGCCGCTGCCGCCACCCTCGGAGCAATGCGGCCACCTTCAGAGAAATGCGGCCACAGCCGTGTAGCGAGCCGCTGCCTAAGCAGGCGGAGGCGGGGGACACTTACCGCGAGCAGCGCAGGTCGCCCAGACTGGGACTCGAAGGAGGAGGAGAAACAGGAGGAGGAAAGGGAGGAGCGCGAAAACACTAGGCGGCCGCCGCCGCCGAAACAGCGGCAGCCGCGGCGACTCCCAGCACGGAATGAGCGGCTCAGACCACGGCAGAAATTTATAACTACGCGCATTGCCTCATGGGTAGACGCAAACTTCTCCCCGCCCATGCACATCCGGGTTTCTTTCCTAACCTATTGGGGAGGGCGTAGCGGACATGTGCCTCGAAGTGGATACATTCTCGAAGGCAGAGGGACAGGGTGAGGGTCCCACGCTGATGCCAACCTCCTCAGGGAATCCACTCTTCATCCTAAGCTGCATTCTTGAAATTTGTGCTGCACACGATGAAAACGTCTTCCTTGTGTGTAAGAGTTAGGAACACCAATAAAAAAGAAATTTTGTGCCTGAGAGGCAAAGACATAAACCAGATGCATAAAAGGAATAAAATTTAGATTATTTAATATTATTGGTTAGTTTCGCCAATAAATTTGTTTTAAACCATACAACTTTTCTTGCAATTCTTTGTTATTCCTGTCATATAGATAAATATAATAGTTATTAAAATGTGAAGAAAAATATACATTTACGAGAAAAACATTGCCAAAGTACTGCTTGCACATTTTCTAAATATGTGTGCTCTGAAGAGTAAAGAAAGTTTCCTCTCCCAATAGACCTTCAGAAAGTCTGTGGCTCTAGTGGTACTGCTCTCAAGAGTCACCCAGGCTTACAATCTTGTTAACCTAGTTCCTCAACACACATAAGTTCAGTCAGTCACTGAATCCTACCAATTCTTCTATTTAAGTTAGTTTCTTCTTTCTCAACTACACTGCCCTTTTCTACTGGTCCTGAAAATAAGCTTTACAGAAAAGGACAGAACAATCAAAGTAACAAGTATGGAAAGTTAAAAGTTCTAAAATCTTGAGGCATTCATAGATTGCTCCCCATTTCTAGAGAGGCTGATAGGAAAGCCCAGTGCTTTCTCATTTGTTGTCAGTGGGAAATTTAAACTAGCAAATTTACAGCCCTGGCACTCCTGCCCTTGGTGCTTGTGGGAAATTTAAAACTCAGCAACTCTCCAGCCAGTTTCTTCCTTTGGTGCTGATGGGACACTTAAAACTGGCAACTAGAGGCGCCTGAGTGGTTCAGTCGGTTAAGTGTCTGACTCTTGGTTTCAGCTCAGGTCATGATCTGATAGTTAGTGGGATCAAGCCCCACATCCAGCTTTGTCTGACAGTGTGGAGCCTGCTTGGGAATCAATCTCCCTCTCTCTCTCTCTCTCTCTCTCTCTGTCTGTCCCTGTCCCTCCCTTCTCCATCTCTCTAAATAAATAAATAAACATTAAAAACTTGCAACTAACTGCAGCCTGCCCACCATATCCTTTGGCACAGGTGTGAAATTTAAAACCTGTAATTCTACAGCCCATGTGGGGAAGCTTTCCCCCAGTCCAATCCCTTAGACACTATAAAGGTCCAGCACACTCTCTCTGCCTCTCTCAAGCCAACCCAGGCCTGTTTGGCCCTCTTGCTCTCCAGGGAGGTTCCTTGAGTAATAAAACTTCTAATTCTCCCAGTGTATAAAGTGTCATGAGCCTCCACATACAAACTAAAATTAGTAGAGGGGAGGGTCAATTTCTCCTCAGTGGGATGATAAGAAAACATTTATTTTATTTTTTTATAGTTTATTGTTAAGTTGGTTTCCACGTAACACCCAGTGCTCATCCCCACAAGTGCCCTCCTCCATGCCCATCACCCCCTTTCCCCTCTCCCTCACCCCCATCAGCCCTCAGTTTGTTCTCAGTATTCAAGAGTCTATCATGGTTTGCCTCTCTCCCTCTCCCCAACTATTTTTCCTCTTCCCCTCCCTGATGGTCCTCTGTTAAGTTTCTCCTGTTCCACTTATAAATGAAAACATATGGTATCTGTCCTTCTCTGCCTGACTTATTTCGCTCAGCATAACACCCTCAAGTTCCATCCACGTTGCTACATATGGCCAGATTTCATTCTTTTTCATTGCCATGTAGTATTCCATTGTCTAGATAAACCACATCTTCTTGAACCATTTGTCAGTTGATGGACACTTAGGCTCTTTCTATGTTTTGGCTATTTTTGACAGTGCTGCTGTGAACATTGGGGTACATGTGCCCCTATGCATCACCACTCCTGTATCCTTCGGGTAAATTCCTAGCAGTGCTATTGCTGGGCCATAGGGGAGTTCTACTGTTAATTTTTTGAAGAACCTCCACATTGTTTTCCAGAGGGGCTGTACCAGTTTACACTCCCACCAACAGTGTAGGAGGGTGCCCATTTCTCCACATCATCACCAGCATGATTAGAAAACATTTATAAACCAAATAAAAATTTCAATGCAAGTTATTCTGTTTTTGTGGAAAATATAATAACCAAGAAGACCAGAAAACCCTTGTCAGCAAATTTTCTCTCAAAATAAAATGTACTCAAGAAGCCAAACTATAATACAAAGGATGTCTGGTGAGAAAGAATGTACTTAACACATGGGAAATTGTATGAATGATTGACTCTACTTAAAACCCCTCCCCAAGATTCTAGAAAACCACTCTGTTGGTACTATGATGAACTGGCCACTGTTCCTCCACCCAGGGCTACCATTAAATGAGGATTTACTGCTATATAGCCTTTTGGAGGGGCAATTTTTAAAATTGAGATACCCGCATAAAAAACTCACCATTTAAAAGTGGCTTCTAATATATTCACAATACTGTGTAGCCATCACTATGTAATTTCAGAACATTTCCTTCAACCCAAAAAAGAAACCTCATACTTGTTAATAGCCACTCCCAATTCTCTTCTACCCACATACCCTGGAAACCTTTAATCACCTTTGTGTCTGTACAGATTTGCTTATTCTGGACATTGCATATAAATGGAATCATACAATATATAGATTTTTTTGTCTGTCTTCTTTCACCTAGAATAATGTTTTTGAGGTAGGTTCATCCATGTGGTAGTATGTATCAGTATTTCATTCCTTTTTATGGTTGTATAGTATTCCATTATATAGATTATACCATATTTTTGTTTATCCGTTATTCAGGTGATGGATATTTGGGTTGTTTCCACTTTTGGAAGGTGGGAAATTTGGGGGATTTTTTGAGGCTATATACATAGGGATAATGGTCTGCAATTTTTATTTCTTTTTCTTCTTTTTTTGTGATGTCTCTCTCTAGTCATGGTATTAGGGTAACACTGACCTCATAGAATGAGTTGGGAAGCATCTCATCCTATTTTCTGGAAGCATTTGTGAAACACTGGTATCAATTCTTCTTTAAATATTTGGTAAAAGGGTTTATCCACCAAGAAGATCTAACAATTATAAATATTTATGCTCCCAATTTGAGACACCCAAGTATATAAATCAACTAATAACGAACATAAAGAGTCTCATTGATAATAATACAAAAATAGTAGGGGACCTCCCCCGCTTGCACATTCTGTCTTTCTTCCACAAAAATAAATAAACATTAAAGGGGCGCCTGGGTGGCTTAGTCGGTTGAGCGTCCGACTTTCGCTTGGGTCATGATCTCGCGGTTCGTGGGTTTGAGCCCCGCGTCGGGCTCTGTGCTGACTGCCAGCTCAGAGCCTGGAGCCTGTTTCAGTCTGTGACTGCCTCTCTCTCTGACCCTCCCCTGCTCACGCTGTCTCTCTCTCTCTCTCCTAAAAATAAATAAAACATTAAAAATAAATAAATAAATAAACATTAAAAAAATGCAGATCAGTACCTTTCATGAATACAGAGGCAAAGTTCTTTAGCAAAACATTACCAAATCAAATACACAGCATAAAAAGAGAATTATGCTTCCAGACTAAGGAGGATTTATCCCAGAGTTCAATGTCAATTTAATATCCAAAATCAATGTAATTCACCATATTATCAGGATAAAGGAGAATACCCATACAATCATTACAATAGAGTCAGGGTGCATGTGACAAAATCCAATATCTATTCCTGATAAAAAATTTTTAAAAAATAGAAACAATTAGAAACTTCCTCAAATGAATAAAAAGCATTTATAAAGCATGTAAAAAAGCAGTATTGTATTTCCATACAATGTAGCACTTTTTGTGAAAAATTGCTTTTTTCTAAGAAAATATGATAATGATTAACTTGGGTGAAGTTTGAAACATTAAAATAGAAAATTAAATTTTATTTTACCACATATTCTCCAGTAAGTGGAGCCAAAGGAAGGTGGGTAACAGCAAATATTTTATCTCCTGAAAATGCATTTACTAGCTATTCTGTTGAATAATCAGATCAATTCCTGACTATGAGAAGAGAAAGGGTAACAACTCTGACGGTACATAAATTTGGATCAGTTACTGGCTCCATGTTTGCTGTAATCTCTATCCTTGGCCTATCCCACTCAGATGACCAGCATACTGTTAATAAAGCATACTATACTACAAGTACTTTGTCCTACATTATTTATCTTGTTGGAATCTATAACTGACTGAAACAATATCCTCAGTGAAAAATGTGATAAGAATTGTGTAAAGATCAAAATACTTTATACTAATAATAGTAACCGTTTGTGAAGGATTTGTTGTACTATATAGAGTTAATAACTCAATATTGCTGCCAGGTTTTGTTTCCATTCTGGTCCCTGCCAGAGACCCATGAATTTCAAGCCAAGTCTTGTGGGAGAAACAGCTTCCCACACCAGAATGTAAGATCCATGAAGGTTGGGAACCCTGATTCATTCACCAATGTCTCCCTAGCATATTGTTCTTGGAACAGAGTTTAATATTTGTTGAATGAATAAATGCATCAATGGCGTGTAAGAAAAGAGAACAAGTTTTGAGTTCAAGCCAAGTCATTCTCAGTCATTCTCAGATTTCCTCCAGGATAAATTAGAAAATTAGATTGAAACTCAATTTCCAGGGGATTGTGGCTAGTGGGGAATGGAAGTGGACCCCCAAAATACCCCAGTCAAATGGCTGTGGATGCCATATGGCACTCCTTTTAAAAATTTTTTTAATGTTTTTACTTATTTCTGAGAGAGAGGGAGAGAGACAGTGTGAGTAGGGCAGGGTCAGA